AAAATCCCGCAAGTCGACGTGTGTTGACGACACCATCCAGTGGGGGAAGAACAACGCCACCTCCCGGAATTAAAAAAGCATGCACTACACTTACGGGACTCATTGCAATATCCGTTGACGCGCCCGTAAACCGAAAATAATCAATTGATGGAATCGAACCCTCTATATTCCGAACCGTTGCAAAGTGATTAAAAAATACATTTTCATAACATTTTCCCGTACTTATTCACCTAAGAGATTCTTCTCCAAGTTTTTGTGGATTTTTGTTACTTTTCGTTTCCAGTATCTTTGAGAACTTAAAATAAAATTGTGAAGAAGATAGTCAAGTTTACTGCCTCTCTTGCCCTTCTAAAATAAAACTGGTACTTGTCATAATATCTGAACTCCCTTCACTTTTATTATTTATTCTCTTATTTATTTCAAAGGAATACTTGATCAATTTCAGGGTGTATTTCTCTTCGTTAAATAGTACTTTTACTCAATCTGATCTATACTACCTCTAACTGTTCAAAAAAGTCAATGTTGAAGATATGACACTTGTTATTATTAGACATCCTTCTAGACATGGCATTCGCTAGAAACGAAAAGTTTTCTTGTTTACTCGTAATTCTTTGAAAATCGAAATTGAAAGCAAAGATATTACAATGATGCTTGGAAGTACTTTGATTTCTTACCTATGGTGAGGAGAATGCAGAATATTGAGATCATCACAACTCGCATGTAAATCATTCTATAACCAATTATATTGAGGAATTTTACAAAGCCCTCTGTTATTCGTGTCAACAACCGTGTTGTTCAGACAACAAAGCCGCTTCCATGTTATGATATGGAAACAAACTTCACACGACTTACTAGCTTTGAGAGCGATAATAGGGAGGTTCATTGCATTATCGTTGTCTAGAAGATGAAGATTACTGCTTCCAAAAAACTATGTAATTTAATTAACAAAATGATTTGCTTTATTTTAATGATAATGTGAAAACATAACTTCATTGCTAAAAATGTTCTTATTCAATCACAACCACTGTCATCATCGTATTATTATTATTATTATTATTATTATTATTATTATTATTATTATTATTATTACTAACTCCTAAATTCACGACTGAAAATGTTAAATGGAGGTTAACTAAAAATATACTCTGGATCGCAGGCAGCTTCCTAATAAGCATATCTTCTGGCGTCTATAATACGTCGCGCGAAGTACGGAAGACTGTTCCAAATAACTCGAAGTCTTGCATTTCTCAGGGCCGGTTTCACCAAACAAAAAGTAAGAGTTTACTCTGGAGTAAATCATGTTTACTCGAGAGTAACTACTTGGAGCGTTTCACCAACACTTTACTCGAATATAAATCGCTTACACGAGAGTAAATTCGAGAGTAACTTTACACTGCGAAAATCCGTCGGATAAAATACGGAGTAAATTCAGTTTTCAATGTGCATGTACCTCCGAAGTGTTGTTACGGCTCGACGATTTCGAATGATAGTATTTGAAAACGATTCCAGCAATGATTCGGGATATTATCCACTGGTGCGAACACAAAGACTGCGAGAGAGAATGGATTGGTTTTAATTATGACGATCGAGATTTTATCATGAGGTTATGTTTGACCAAATCAGCTGTTTAACTTCATCAGATACATTGTAAACTGTAGAGAACTTCTAAAGTTCTTTTTCTCCTATGTGGATACGAAATAAAGGTAGTAGTTACCGAATACGATAACAAAAGGAAAAATAATAACTACAGGGACTACAAATACTACAGGTAGAGAAATATTCATTTATTTATTCGGTAAAAACTGTATGTGACGTATGGGGGAAATCATTTGCGCACGTTTTCTTGAGTTCCAGAATCCCTTTCCAACATTTTAACTACAAATAGTTCAAAGATGAATATAGGTTTATAAATAAAACAACAAATAATAATAATAAAATTTAGAAAATCTGCATTGCTAACAAAATAGTAACTCGTCTCCAGAGAAGAAGAATGAATATTTATTAAGAAATAAAGATACAGAAACTAGGAAACAAACTATGCTAACTCAAACCAACATAACACCACACCAGATTATAACGCCAAGAACTCCGAAACTGAAATGAATGATAGAAGATAAGGAATTAATCAAAGGTTCGCGTTGGTCCGCAATGGTTCCCAGCGTCATTCTCGCGCACAGCCTCTTGAATCGCTCTCAAATATTGTGTGTTCAGCTGATTTGCGGAGTAAAACGGAGAGTATGTACTCTAGAGTAAAATAACTCTCTAGAAGCATGGTGAAACGCTCATATTCTACTCGAGAGTTACTATCTTAGAGTAAATGGTGACTCTCGGGTAACTACTCTCAACTTTATTCGGCTGTTGGTGAAACTGACCCTCAGTCTTTTAAGTGACCTCAGAGTTTGAACAAGTTCTTACATAAATTTTGAACAAACTCTGGTGCTCCGCACTACTACAAGACACAATTTTTTCTCGAGATCCGGCTTGTTTGCTACTATCGTACAATCAGTATGGGTTTGTTAGTCGTAGAATATTGAACAGTCCAACAGAAGTCAAAAGCTTTGACGATGTTCGTACTACTTGAAGCATATGTTTGGAACTATGAAGGCGGTATAGATCCGACAGTGGAGGTAACCACGGACGCTATCGCCCCTTTTCAGGTATTCGGGCTCTGCTATAATTGGACAAGCCAATATAATACTGTCAATGGTTTCTACCTGTTCCTGACAAATACGATCTTATTACCGTAGAAAAAAGTTGAGAACTGTTTTCATTGCCTCATCTTAGGCAGCTATTACCGCTACTTCGATTCCAGGTTCATTATTTCGCCCTTTTTAAGGAACGTAAACAAGTGTTTTGTTGGTGATCTGCATTTTGTTCATTCTTTTTATGCATTTATTGCGCGCGGCGATGTTGTGACGGTTAGCGTATCGGACTGTTATACCCAAGTTGGCGGTTTCAAACCCGATCGAAGCAGAGGATTTTTAAGAGCGAAAAAACGCTTCTTACGCTTTCCTTCGGAGGGGAAGACAAGCCGGCTGTCCCATGTTAGTAGATTTACTTGCACGTAAAAAGATCAAGCCTAAATGACGCCTCTGAGCTAAATTCAAATCGCCTGTTTCTCGCCCAAGAAATACCTCGTTTCTCTACTAGTTTGGGAAAAGGAGCGTAGCGAAATTGCGTGGTCAGACGGAAGAGCGGGCCTGATGGCCCAAGTCTCACCAAGTAAAATTAATTCAATTCATGGAGTAGTTTGTCTCTTCACGATTTCTTTAACATTTCTTTGCTTCACATTTTATGTCAAGCAGCATCAATAATGAATTATCTATGATATTTCACGTGTGTTGCAGAGTTTTCTTCGCAAATCCTGTGCAAAACAGGACAATTTTCAGCAGAAATGCCATTGCCATCAATGAAGAAATAGTTTGACATCAACCATATTGAATAACTGAAAATGGTCACTGGAAATTACTTGCGCCAGTAAAGTAAATAACATCAATTTATTCATTTCATAAATGAATCCTCCGAGCCGACCTGGACGGTCGAGATGGCTAGAGCGTGTGCCGACCTATCTCCTCGGTCGGAAGGGTCACGGGTTGTGAGTACCCGGCGCGGATAGACGAAAAGTCCGCATCCCCTGAGGCTTAAAAAAGCCCCCGAAGGAAAAAATACATTAATCAACCGAAATGAAAAATTTTCTCTTAAAATGAAGTCATTTGAGCTGAAATGTATTAATAAATTAATTTCTACCTCTGTGCACATTACGTCATGAAATCCTGAAATTGGAGATAAGGCATGTTCCTACTAGTAATTTTTTATTGTTCTCCTTTATGTTTAGGGACATTTGTTTGTGGATGTGATTGAGTGAGCTACATTTATTTTATGAACATAGTCTGTTCAGATACTAGTACAAAAACTAATATAACTACGGAGCGTATTTTTATGATTTTGCGTGTTTTTGTCTGTTGCTTCGGAGAAATAGCGAAGTGAAATTTGTTTAGAATTTGATGCTATGTAGATTAACACGATTGTATGTGATTTGTGATTATTTGGCCAATTTTTCCTGTTGGTGCTTATTCGTGTAATTATAGAAGTATACATTGCACATTTCGTTCAAACAGAGACTTACGACGTTACATTTTTTATAGAATATATTTTTGAGCGTTAAAAAACAAAGTGAAATTGTAAGATGAAAATTCATTCACGTTATTCTATTGTGTTTTTTTTCTATAGACGATAAACTACTCGTATTTTTGCAAATGAAGGATTTTTCTCGATATATTTTTTAAACCTGATAGACGAAATGTAACAAGATACTATGTACTTCACTAAGATGAATATTTACTTCAATTATTTCTCCCGAAAAGTAGGGTAGATTATGTCATGTTTGTTCAATAATTTTCATTCCAAATATGCTTTTCCTGAAATTTCATCCAGAACAGTTTACATAGACAATGATATAATGTTTAATTTAGTTTCGTATTTAAATGCGTACTTCAAATTTTTAGGTCGTAAACGTATATTTTTAAAAGCACATTTCATGATTTTCTTAGTTAATAAAAATCCTCTCTCTAATTAAAACCATGGGAAAGTAATGCGATGAAATCCCAGCATAAATACAACAGAGAGTAAAAACAGTTACTCACTTTGCAATATTACGCATTTCTCTATGCCAACGTTTGGAATATTGTGTAATTGTATTCCATTATAATTAGTATCCCTTGATAGTATCTGTTTGTAAGTTTTTGGAGATTAAATTCCTTCCACTTCTTTTATTTGACGCACTTTTAGTGGTGCGTTTTAGTGTTACACTCTGTTAGTTTTGTTGCTTTCTGAGTATGATTGAAGAAATTTTCGAATGACCTCGAAGTATCACTCTCGGAGTTCACAATTTAATTTGTTTTTAAATACCGCGCCTTTTCTACATATTTCGTATGACATGCACCAGAGTCGCTCATTGCCTGAAAACCAAAGTAACTCAATAAATTAGAATGATGAGAACAGGGCAGAACAGGATGAGAATCTGCTTCTGAAGTCAAGTCGCACTTGAAATCCAATAATGACAAATTTTGTATCCAATTCTTCAGTATTTGAATGACGTAAATTTGTCGTAAAAGAGGACAATGTTTTTGTCAAGTGCAATTCACTCTCATCATATGACCCTGTAAAGCATTTAATAACGAGTAATGAAGGCCTGCGATGTGGAAGAGTTGACGTCACACACGTCAGTGTCAACTCGCGAGAAGTGCAGGCCTGTGCCGATTTGACGTGGATATGTGAAGAAAAGCTGTTCATGAAGAGGATCTGATATTGAAATGTAGCGTGATGTTGTATGGTTGAAAATTCTTCGGCACCAGTGAGAAAGACATTCCTTCGTTATAAATTTATTCTTTAAAATGCCCACAATGACGTGCCCTGGGAATGGGATCTACGTGGTCCAGGGAGAAATGACAATTATCCTCACAGCGATGCGAAGAGAGGCCAGGTGGTCTTCTCATGTGCATCAGGTATTTTAACTATTTTCATTGATATTACGATATTGAAATGTCGTTTTGCCTATTCCTCTTATATCCATGATACAAACCATATTGTAAGATTGAGGTTAGACATAACGTCAATTTGTGTTGAATATTACTTGATTGCACTGACAGTATTTTTTTCTTTATTTTGTTCCCTTTTTTAGGATGAGGATCAAGATCCTTTGATAAGAAGTTTTAGTCATTTGAAAGATACGTTGAACCAAATAGATGATCTATTTGAACTTGATCCCAACACCTTTCTTGGTAAAATTGAGTTTCACTGTTAGTCTGGTTAAATGTTTCTTATAAACATATGTTTAATGATAATATTTTCGGTATTCTGCTATGTAGGTCCTTTCCTGGAAGTGATTAGATCCATAAAAACCACTGGTCCAGTGACCAGTCTTGCTCTGTCATCAGTAAATAAGTTTCTTTCATATGGTTTATTAGGTAAATATGAATGAATAACTTGCTTTTATACTTTTTTTATACCTTAATCTGTGTTATTATCAAAAGTATAGTGGCCCACTGTTAAATAATCAAACTGATCTTGGTATCACCTTATTGAAAGAATTATTTTTTCTAAGATCCCAATGGAAAAGCAGTTGCAACAGCAGTAGAGAATATTGCTAGTGCAGTTACTCGTGCAAAGTTTGTTGGTACTGATCAAGCTAGTGATGGAGTGGTCCTGATGAAAATTTTACAGGTGAGATTAGATTATTTAAAATTTTCTGAAATATTTCAAGAGACATGAAAGGAATATTTAAAATTTTCAGAAATATTTCAAGAGACATGAAAGAAATATTTAAAATTTTTATGAATAGCTTAAACCACTTGTTTGTAAATTTGTTTTGAAAAAATTGAACCTGTTTCAGGTACTTCGCACTCTAATGTTATCACCCGAAGGAACATTGCTTACTAATGAAATAGTGTGCGAGATTATGAAAAGCTGTTTTAGACTTTGCTTTGAGACAAGGCTTAGTGGTATGTTCCCTTTATTGTTTTGTATGTACGTGTTTATGAACTTTCTCATAAAGAATGGTAAAATGTGATTAATCTCTAATGATAAATTAATTTTCATTTTTTCAGAATTATTAAGGAGAACTGCAGAACATTGTCTCAAAGACATGGTTCAGCTTCTTTTCACAAGACTACCTCAGTTTTCAGAAGATTTTAGAGTTCCTGTGAATCTAAAGGTTTGTTCATTAATTTTTGTTGGTTTGTGGTATTTAAACCAATTCATAGGGTTTTATTTTTTAAACAAAATTTTTGTTCATTGGTTTTGTACTTGGTTTTTTGGTTTTGCATTGGTAAATGTTGATGTAAGTGCATTGTTTTTGTGTAACAGAAATTAAAAATGAGGACTGAAAATATGAATTCTTCTCGAACAAAGAGGAAGAGCAGATCATCAGCACAATCAAAACATAATAGAGTTGCACCAAAAGTTGATGACAATCCACAAACAGTTCCAAAGAAAAGAGAAGTCTTGACTCCTACAGGTAAACATCTATATTATTAATTTCAAATGTGTGTTGCAATTGAAAGAAAACTATGCAACTTGCAGCCATGTGACAGGTGGCTATGGTTTCATTAGATAGACAGGAATTCTAGAAAAGTCAAAAAACATTGAAACTCTTTTGACTTGGAGTAAAAAACACAAATATTGTATTATGTTGTTTCGCATATTGTGATACAGCATGTATCAATTCAATTCTCGTACTCAGCAAGTCACTGGCTCAGTAAGGTGTCATCAAAGCACCAAGGAAGAAATCGCCTACTATTAAATATTTGCTATTCAAATGTTGCAAGTGCAAGGGCTACTTTTTGGAGATGATAAAATCTGTGTTATCCAAAATTCGAATTAAGCAAACAATGCCTTTTGTAATAAGCGATCAGTTTCATTATTTTTTTCATTTGTAATTTTTAATTAGTTAGTAGTGATCTTCATTATCTCCTATTTTCACAACATCTGATTTGATATTGTTAAAGATGAAAATGCTGTCACTCAGAAATGGAGATAAGAAAGTATTTAATTCTGAAAATTCAGTAATGTGTATCTCATCATATAGGAAATTGATATGGTAGTTTATGGTTGGTATTCATACTATCATCTTTCTTCTTGAGCTCTCTTCTTTCTAAAGCATATTAAATTTTTCTTTCAAGTTAAACTGTGGTAGAATTCACAGGAGATATCTGTGCAGTCATTGAGCTCTAAAATTTATTTAGCAAGCTTTGGCTTGCACTTCAATTGTTGAGTACACATGCCTCATGTGGACTCTTTGCTCCAATACGTTCTTGGCTACCGGGGATGAGCTGCGTCTCAGTCAATTATGCTGACGTTTCGGCCCTGCTGTGGCCTTCTTTGAAGCTCTACTGCTGTCTTTGCTTCAAATTTCCATGTCACAGCTACAGAAATTAAAAATGTTCTGTGATAAATGCTGTTAAGTAACATATAATCAGGTTCATTTTCTCTCTGACTATTCTTTCAGAAAGCTCTTTCTGGGAACCATTGAGTCAGAAACCAGCATTTTTTTGTGCATCAGGAATTATTGTTTTTTTCAAATGCATAGTATCCCAACTTAAAACCCACATGTTATTTCTCAAAATTTAAATCAAAAAGAGCATTTTTATCCTAGTGTAGCATTCTAAAAATTCATTGAATTGTAGTTGTTGTTTTTTTCAATTATCCTATAATTTGAATTATTAAATGTTAAAATAACAAAAGTATACTGTGTTTTACTATAATTACAAAATATTTTCTTTGTATTATATACATTTCAAGTTCAATTGAATGTACAACATAGTTTTTCTTTTGTTCCAGACAATCTAAATTCTGAAGATACATCAAGTCCTGCTGACAGAAATATGCTTCATCCTGCACATCTTGCCACCACACCTCTGACACCTGCAGGAAACATAGTGGACATGCAGGGAACAATTCACCAAGAGACACCAGAAATAGCCGAAGCTACCACACCTACTCAACCATGTGAAGTCCCAGAAATATCTGTTAGTTCAGAACAATCTAATATTTCAAAACCTGTTGAAGCAAGTTCTCCAGATGCTGATAGTTCAAATCTTTCATCATGTGTAGTCATAAATGTAGAAATTGAGAGTTCTGGAGGATTTGAATCACCAGGACTTTCAAGCAAAACATGCTCTGTTGAAGATGTCAGTTTGTCAAGTCCTCAGGAAGAGACGAAACCATTACTTGAGGACAGTGCTCATGAAGAAATTGTACCCACAACTTCAACCACAACCACAACCTCAGTTGAAGCTCCTGATACACAATCAGTTGCAGTAGTGGGTCAGACTGGAGAGGAAGAAAATGTGGATGAAACCAAAGAGAAGTCTGAAGTTTGTGTACAGTTGCAAATTGATTCCCCCGTGGCACGTCCGGAAGAGGAGGTTGTAGAGAATAACCATTCACAAGATGACCCTCAAAACAGAGATTATGTAAATCCAAGGGGAGTGCGTTTCACCAGTGAAGAAAGAAAAGAGAATGGTTAGTTTTTATTATTTCGGCAGTAGCAAATCATATAAGAGTTCAGGAGAGATGTGTCCATCTAAGCGTTTGTGCTTAAGGGGGGGGGGGGGTTGTACAGCCTTTCTCTATATTGTTAATTGTGTTGTGTTTATGTACCTTTATCTCTAAAACTATTTTATGAAGCTCTTTGAAAATTAACACATTATTTTATAGAAATGTTTTTCACACAGTTTTTTTGTAATGATTCATTGTCATTTTAGTTGTTTAAAATTTTTTTCCCCTAACAGAGTATTTTTTTAAACATTTTTTTTGTAAACATACTCTATATCTAAGTTTTGAATAATTTAATTATTATATAAAAACAACAAATCATGACAAAAATTCATGATAAATGGTGAAAATTTCATGGAGTTATGTGCCTGAGAAAAAGGTGCATGAAGACAAAAAATAATTTCCTGGAAATGGTTTTGTGACAGCATAACTCTTAAGACAATCCTGGTTCAGATTCTGACTCTTCACCTGTTTCCTCATCTTTCTCTGTACTTTTCCACTTTGTTCCTACAATCATACTTCTTTTAACATATTTTCTACTGCTTCTTCTGCCTTTTTGAGCCTGTGAATAGGTAGTAGTGTAGTGGTAGTAGTGTCTTGTAGTGACTAGCACATTATAAATCCACTCACAATAAGTATATTACAACCCACGATATTAACGTAAAAATTGCTTCCAAAATGTCAGGTAACAAATGACTATCACGAGGCAGTTTTGCCACACCAATGTAAATACAACCATTAAGGAAATTTCCCTAAAAAACACTTCAAAGACTTAAAAAATTAGAGTAAAGTGGCATGTAACATGAAAATGAGCATGGCATTTTGTACTGCTAGGCATTTAAATGGCATTTTCAAGCCTTTAAGAATATATCTCAAAAATGTGTATTGTACTATGTTAAATAAATGTTAAAGATTCAAAATAATGCAAAAAGCAAACATTTTGGTCCTATGATGTGTATAGGTGTTGTGGTGCGTTATCGGTGGCATTTTTCATTAAATAATTATAGACGTTGTCATTGCCAACAATAGTATTTAATATAAGAGCAGCTTTCGATGGCTTAGCATCATCATCAGTTGTCTGCTGGATGGAAGCACAAAACGACTAGGTAGTTTCTTACTTCCATCCAGCAGACAAACTGATGATGATGGCTAAGCCATCGAAAGCTGCTCTTATATTAAATCTATTATTGTGCAATGACAAGTCTATAATTATTTCCTATGATTTGTACTACCTCCCTTATGGTACATGTACGAGTGCATGATTGTGTATGTTTATAAAATTTTGTTAGTTACACTTGTTGATAATACTTTAGACAAACTTTAAATTAATTATAGTAGTAACAGATGATGCGGCTTTTCACATCCCAGTCACCACACCTTTTGATCTTCCCAATCTTTCTCTTGAAGATCTCATTCCTTCACCTTTTCTCACGTTTTACTTGCTCTGTAATGCTTCCTATTTCTTTGAGGCATCCTTTTAAAAATTTGGATTCATAGTTAAACTCCAAGATGTATATTCTTCATACAGATTCCTCAGCTTATAATCTATAGATCACACTAATCTATGCATCAGCAAGAATAACCTGTTCATCAGCAAAGTGAAGTATAAAAAATGTATTTTTGTTAACTCACTATCTCTATTCTGACATTTACATCTCCAAGTTTTAGCAGCAGAACTGAAATATATTTTGAAGAGTAGGAGCTATACAGCATCCTTGTCTCAGATCTATAGAGATTTTAAAGTTTGGGATGGGATGGATTCGTTACTTTTCTTCCAATTTTGATACGGCTTGTCATATCATTGTACAGGTTATGAATTGTATATTTGTTTTGATGTGTGACAACTTTTCATAATTTTTCCAAATGAATATTTTCATAGGCTTTTGTTATATGTATAAAGAGTGTGTGTCGCTTCTCCGCATATGCCTGTCGGAATCTCTGCTAGGCTGTTCGATGTTCCTGCAATGGCGAGTAGGCTGAGCAGTACAGCAACGATGATGGACATAACTTGTAAAAGGAGGGTGGCCTCTAGGGGGCTATTGCTTCTGCTTACTTGTGTCACACTGCTCTCTACTATCCTATTTTATCACTCTAGATTTCTTGTGTTTTTGACCCTGACACTAATAGCTTTCAAGGGCTAGGGAGTCATTCATTTTCTATTCTTCTCTGTCCTCTTACTTCTCTACTCTTCTCAGCTTTCAATCTTTATTTCTCCTTTGCACTTGGGGGAGGAGGATCTCTTTAGCCATAGAGAAGGCCATAGAAAGCCTGAAAAAAATCCCCTGGCCCTTCAGGTTGGGGGTTGCAGCATTGGGCCCCCATTCATTGTAGTACCCTGTGTTATCATAGTCACTGCAAAAATTCCTAAATTAATTATACTTATAATATATAAAATAATTTCTGATGTGAGTTAGTCATGAGATTATATATGTGTGATTGGGCCTATGTCAAATCATTGACTGAGAAGTTAGTGCCGGGGTATGTGTTACAGGTTCTCAACCTTTGGTGCCGCATGGACTGGTGTGTGTGAGAGAATTGTTTCAGTTTCTTGTGTCATTGTGCAACCCCCTTGACAAACAGAACAATGAAACTATGGTTCATCTTGGCCTCACATTGCTAACAGTTGCTCTGGAGGTGGGAGCAGACAGCATTGGCAAATTCAATTCTCTCCTGGGGCTGGTTAAGGATGACTTGTGCAGAAATCTATTTTCAGTGAGTTGAACTGAATATGTTTATAAAAATAATTCATAATTAAAATTAAGTGTCATTAATTGTTATTTATTAATTAATTGTTCTTATTGATTAAGCAATATTGGAAAAAGCAGTTGTTCCTTAGTTCAAAATTCCAATTTAGATCTGATAGAATATCACTCTTTCATAATAATGATCTATATCGTAAAAAATAATATTTTCTTAGATACATATTTGATTGTATCCAATTTAATATTAAATAAGTCACATTTATTAACTTTTCTGTTTCACATCAAACACTTCATAAAAAAAAAGGTTTTTATAAAAAATATTGATATTAACATCTTTTTATTTTCCCCTCAACGGGACAAAATGAATTTTGTGAGAAATGATTATTATATCTTTTTTTCTTGAATAAAAGTGCCTGTTCAGACATGAATGCAGACATTAATCGTACTTGTAATTTCTGTATTAGGTCTGTTTTTATTTTCTCTACATTTCTCTGAAAAATCTTGATAGAAAATTAAACAAACATTACAGTAGCAATATATGGTTCAAGAGAGTAAAATAAGATTTGTTCGTGAATAAAGAAGATGTAGGTAGTTGATTGTAATTAGTGAAAAAAATCTTTTGACTCTCATGTAACACATTATTTTATCTATTACCTCTGAGAAGTAAAGAAAAGTTAAAATCAAATATCTATATATCAAACAGCTCATTTATTATTGATTAAATGAAATTAATGTCAGAAGAGCGAGTTGTGAGCACACTAACCTGTTGTGATACACATAAATAGGGTTAGCAAGAAAATAAAATTCTTGCACCTAGATTAAAACGGAAAATGAAAGTAAAATTGTGTAGTTTACGTTGCCCAAACACCAAAATAAATCATAGTATATACAGGTGTAATGGAGAAAAGTTTATATTTGCACAAAATGAATTTGAAAAGTTTAGTTGTAACTAAGTAAGTTTATCCTACATGTGTAAACGGTTTTTGCTTTACATCAAAAGTGGTTTTGTTTTTGCAGCTCCTGAACTCGGAGCGATTGTCAATATTTGCAGCTGATTTGCAAGTCTGCTTTCTGTTGTTTGAATCGCTGCGAACACATCTCAAGTTTCAGTTGGAGACTTACCTTAACAAACTAATTGATATTATTGTATCAGATTCAACAAAAATTCCCTATGAACAAAAGGAAATTGCTCTAGGTAAGTTGTGCAGTCAGTTGTGACCCTCTAAAAATAAATCTTATACCTCTATTCAACAGAGCTAGTATACTATTCTTTGAGATCGCTTAAAAAAATTATATTGAAACTGTATGAAGGAAAAGAGGAAAAATTCAGTCCTCCAAAAGCTGTGCTTTTATAGCTTACTGCTTAAAGATGTTTATGACAATGCATTCTTATAATTAACTTTTTGTTGTTTTCCCTTTAGAATCAGTTGTTCAACTTTGGAGAATCCCTGGTTTAGTTACTGAATTGTACTTGAATTATGACTGTGACCTGTATTGCCCTAATTTATTTGAAGACTTAACTAAGCTTCTTTCTAAGGTATGTATCACCTTTGTATAAACAGCATATTATGCAATTGTATGTAGATAGAATAATAATGAATTTTAATGAAAGTTTTGCTGTGACACAAAAATTCACATGTTTTTTGTTCTTAAGAAAATGTCTGTGTATTATTATTTATTGATCTGATTGCAGAATGCCTTTCCCGTCACTGGTCTCTACAACACGCACTTGCTGTCATTGGACGCTCTACTGACAATCATTGATTCCATTGAAGCACACTGTCACAGTCGAATTCTCAGTGAACGTCAAGAAGGAAAAGGAGGTATTTGCAACATTGAATAATTATTTTCTTGGTCTTAAGATTTTTGCATATTATGTAATGCATCCCGGAACTTTTAGAGAATTGCTATATAATTCAGAATTGTTTCTGACCAAATGTTACTACAATTTTGTATGCACTAAATAAGGTTGTTTTTAAAAACGTCTTTCTTTTTAACATTTTTCACACTGCTTACACTCTACATTTCTTTCCAGAAAACGGTATGAGTAGTGGTAAAGATGGAAGTAGCTTGGCATTTACATCACTGAAGAGATCTGCTCGCCAAAAAATATCTGATAATATTCCCAGTCACGAACAGTTAATGGCCATTAAACGCAAAAAGAAGGTAACAAAGAGGTTATTTTAAGCGTCCTGTGCACTTTATATTGCTAATATTATTTTTATTAACCCTTCGACTCTTGTTTCTCCATTACTTACGTGGGCCGTGTTTGGGGTCAGATTTGACCTCGCACGCTTTACCCAATAGTTTACCCTTATTTCATGCACGGATTCTATTTGGAATTATTGATTAAGAAAATGATGCTATTTATTTGCTTCATTTACTATATTGTTCTAAAAACACAAAGATATTTCCAGAAAAACATTGTAGCATATCGTCATAACTATACATAGGTGTCTACCATACCAGCATGAGAATGTCTGGTACAAAGCTACTAACTCATAATAGCCAAATATGCGAGATATTCAATCAGAAACAACAATATTATATTATAAAATAATAACAGACACTTTTTTGAAATTTTTCTTATAATTTAGAGTTGTAACGTGGAACCTATTTGGGTACATTTTGGACCTCAAGGTCCTAAAAATGAAATTATTTCAAACCAAGAAAACTTAAATAAAATACTTAATTTAAAACTTAAGGTTTAATATTTTATTGTTTCATTAGAAAATTTTAGTTGTAAAGTGTTAATGTGTAAATAATATTTGCTAAACCCACTTTTATCAAGCAAATCTTTATTTAACAGTTATTTAAAAGAACTGTTGTGTTTATAATTCTGAGTAGGTCTGATAGTGTTAACAAACGTAAAAAAGAAGTCTGAAAATTCATGATCTAGTAGAGGCAAAAAATTCAAACTTGTATTCAGGAGAGAAAATTGTTTAATGAATGTCCAAGTAAATTTAGATTTCAATATTTCTTACATAAATAATTTATTTACTTACTATTCGTTACTTGTTTAATGATGGAAACAATGATTACCAATAAGTGAAAAATGTGTGGTTTAACAAGTATAATTAGTTTTATTTTATGCGACTAAGAGGTTTAGGATTTATTATACTATTACTTATTTCATTATAGTGATATACCTTCTTTACCCGACTATAAGACAAGGATTTTTCCTAAATATCTAATTCGAAAAATAGAGGTCATCTTATAATTGCAGATTAAACTTAGTCAGTTAGTTTGTTTTTACATCGTCATTCCTTGTCACTCATAAATTTTTTGAAACAATAAGGTGCGAAGACAATAAAAATATTTGACACTTATATGTAATACGTAATTGTATTCATGGATGTATTATTAGCATCCACTGCGAAATTGCCAGGCAGTTCAGACCAATATTTTTGAATGGGCTGGTAAAGAGAGAATCTCAACGATTGGCATTGAATCAATTAAAACACAATGTAAAAATTAATATAAATCACTGTTGAGATTTTGTTACACAATGAGAATATGTAGACTCTCGGTTCATTGCCCAACAAGTGCATATCTGTTTTTTGCAAGATATGACTTAAAAAATGCACATTGACAGGAGTATGCATTCTACATCCAATCACAGAAAGGGACAATGATTAAAATATTTTCTTTGCAAAACTTCCCTAATTTGCAACCTGGCCATTATCTCCCATGTTATCTATGAAACAGAGGAACAGAGATGTCTGTGTTTGCAGTTTGCAACTTGATCACACTATCATTAAATGATACAGATTTAAAGTATAGTTTGAAGACAGTGAAAGAATCAAAGGCCATGAACAAGAGCAGGACTGGAGGAAAATCAAATGACACAGAAGGGAACATTGTTTGGTGGTGTCAGTTGAAAGACCAAGAGTGCAAATTCAACATGCAAAACTTTTAGAGAAGCCTAAAAATCAGCGGATGTTGCAATGTGGGAGGAGGATCAAAAAGAAAGAAAAATACACGCGAAGATGAAAAAGGTAGTGACAAAAACCAAGGTTATTGTGATTTTAAGGAACAAGAAAATGTTATCAAAAGTTTCAACATTCTCATCAGGAAACAATTTTCTAGTCAATTTGCAATTTTGTTTTGACTAAATAGTAAGAATTATTTAAAAAGCTTAAAAATTTCCTGGAAGCCTCTTCAAAATTAGGGGGATTGTCTTATATTCAAAGTCAACTTATATTCGTAAATATTACAGTAAGTATTAAAAATTAAAAAATAGGTCAGTCTTTTTGTGCTATATTTTATTGGTGTAAAGACATAAAAGAAATTACCATTGAAGTTAAAGAAAGGGCCCTCTAACTCCCATATATCGTGGTGGAAACCATTACGGTGGCACGCTCTGCTGCATCACCTTCTTACAGGAACTAAAGCACGAACTGCTGCCACAACGTGTGTGGCTTGCTGCGTGAGTTCGCGGGGTCGCAACAGGCCCATTAATGTTTAAAAGATGACATCTATGTTTGTGCTTTCTTCATGACGCTTCTTTATAAGATTATGAATAATTGAACATTTAGAAGACACTTTTCGTATTTCTCACAAATTAGCCAATTTGTATGTGTGAAAGTTGGCAAGCCTAACCTGCAGCTGCCCCTTGAGACACTAGCACCTCCTATAGTAGCACCTTCCAGCTTTGTCCCCAGTTTTAATAGAGAGTTGCAGGACCCTGGTTAAAGACGCCATTGAAAAATAGAAAAAAAGGAAAGGGATTTTAATAGAATTTTTATTTATCTTTTGTGTTATGAAATGGAGAGTGGAACTTAAAAACACTATTGGTTTCAGCTTTTATCAACTGGAACTGAACAGTTTAATGCCAAACCTAAGAAAGGCATTCAGTTTCTTCAAGAAAACAACTTGCTTTCATCTCCTCAGGACCCTTCAGAAGTTGTGCATTTTTTACGTGAGAATCCTCGTCTAGATAAAAAAATGATTGGCGAGTACATAAGCAATCGTAGCAATTTGACGGTTCTGGATTGCTTTGTGAAGTAAGTGGGTTTTTTTGTCTTAACTTGAGTGAGGTAACACAGGTCCTTTTGGGGTTCCACCTTTCTGATTCCTAATTTTGCAAGTGAGAGACATTACAGATCATAAATTCTTTACATTCTTTATCTTTTGTGGCACTACACAGTGGTCTAAAGTTCCTATAATTACCTTTATTATCAAATCATGCTTCAAAATGATCTCTTTGACCTTGTGGCACCAGTTCCAGCAGCTGCGGGAAGAGTTGTCAGTCTTGCCAGGACTTAAATTGAAAGCGATTCTTTAATTTTCATAAAGTAGTATTTTAGGTAAATGACTTCATTGTTAATACTTCCATTTTTCCTTACTTTGTGCTGACGGCTCTAAGTTATTTAAAGGGAGAGGGTACCTTGAAATGGGTCAAATTATCAATTTTATTTTTTGACTAAATACATAGTTCAAACCTTGTCCTTTCCAAATATATTAACTTTTTTTTTTCTAGGACGCCTCAAAGTCCCTTTAATTATTATTTAAATGTCCTAGTGCGCATAAGCTATGCCCCCTTTTTTGACACTGCACACAAGAATAGCTATTGTAATTTCATAATTTTGAATGAATGTTGGGATGTTAATGATTTATTGAATCATTCTTTTGTTGGTAGCATAGGTATTTTCCGCAGAAAAGCATAATCCAGAATATGGTGCAGGAACGTTGAAGTAGATCAGTGGCAAGAACACTTTTTTCAAATGCCATTTGCCCACAATGTTTTTATTTTATAATGAATTAACCTTTTCTCAGAAACTATTGTTCAGAATTTATTACGATTTACAGGATACATTCTATATAATATTGGCAATAAATTGACATTTTTGTATAAACATTCTTCAATAAAAAATGTTTAAAAAATAATGTTAATCCAAAATGCTGAGAAAATTAGGGCAAAAGTTATAATAGAATGAAAATCTAATTATTTTTTTATGAACCCCAAAAAATGTCAAAATAAGAACAATAGCTGTATTTTTAAGTGTGCAAAATATCAAAATTTTCTTGTTAACCGTTTTCTAGAAAAGGTACATCAAAAATTATTTGCACATTATACTGCACATTTATCATGGGCAGTATACATGGTACCATCTCCCCTTAAAAATGAATTGTAATTTGGATATTTGGGTGAGTCATTGAGGTGAAAAAATTCTGAACTGTCTGATACCTTTTATCTTTTACATTTTAGGGGAATGTAAATGGAAACCCTGTATTATAAAATATGGTAAAGGTTAATTCTAGGCTTTTCAATTTTATTCACTTCTGGATCATTTAAATTATTGCATATCTGTCTATATTATGTGCATGGATTTAATAAATGTGATGGATTATTAAGTAAAATAATTATTTCTATCATATTTATTGCTAAATATGATAAAATATAGAAATAACTCCTAGACCCTGTGCCATCTCTGATGTTTCTCAAACGTGCTGCACCTCAAAGGTTAAACAATAGTTGATACAACAAAGCTCATTGTGCATCAAATTAAAATGCATTAAAATTAAATAATTTGTTAGGCAGTGCCCGTCAAAAGGGATGATCTCTGTAGTGCATTAATGTTAAAGGACTAAAATAAGAAACCAAAAAGTTAAAAAGAGGTCTGGAAATTAGCCGCCAGTTGTAAAATAAATAACAATGCAGCCTTCAGTAATTTCTTTGGATGAATTGCGAGACTACTGTAAGTTGTTTTGAAGTGTTAGTTTTCAGTGCACAAATCTTTTAAAAGTTCTTGAATATATTTCTTATATCAAATGTGATTTTTTGCAATTTGAGCTAATAACTATTAACAGTTTTAAAAGAATCCATTATTCATCATTCTCTGTAATTTGATTTGAGATTCTGGATGTAGGAGCTGGTTGTGTGGTACTGTGAAATGCTTGACAATACAAACAACAAGTTGTTAATGAATAAGCCTTTCCTTAATTGAAATTTGTGTTTCAAATTTGTTCTTATTTGCAGGTCATTTGATTTCACTGATACTCGTATTGATGAAGCTCTCCGTCTTTATTTGGAAACTTTCCGACTTCCTGGAGAGTCTCCTTTAATATCTCTTATAATGGAGCATTTTGCTGAACATTGGCATGTGAGTCACTGAATCTACTTTTTTTGTGCCAGGTTGTATTAGCAAAGTCATTCAATAATTCGTATAAAACTATCATGTCTTTCATCTAATTTAGAGTGCGTTTCACACTTCTTACATGAATATTTGCATTTTTAAAGTATTCATTTTATTTTTCATTTACTTTGAAAATGCATTGATGTGTTATTGTTGTCATTATGAATGTTATGGTTCTCAAATAATATTGAAGAAACAAATTTTATATTTCCTTATTAGAAATGCAATGGAGAACCATTTGCAAATGCTGATGCTGCATTCACTCTTGCATATGCTGTCATTATGCTAAATGTGGACCAACACAACTATAATGTGAAAAGGCAAAATAATCCAATGACCATCGAAGAGTTTAAAAAGAATTTGAAGAATGTTAATGGTGGCCAGGACTTTGATCAAGATATGTTAGATGATATTTACCATTCCATCAAGTAAGTAAAATGAAAAAAAATAAATCAAGATGACATATCGAATGTAAGTAATGTGTTTTAAAACGTGATTGGACCTCCGCTTCAAAATAAGTTTTTTTTTAAGTGAACAATTAACAGAAATTTTTACTGTAATAAGGATGTTTTTAAGGATATCTCTGGGAGCTCAATTGGTATTCATAAAACATTTAAGACTTACAAACTTATCTTACAGAACAAATACAACATACTTGAGAGTTCCTATCTGGAAAAGTATTGGATGATTTACTTTATGACTGATTGGGACCAATTAGTATTATTTTTAGGAAACCATTTTTTTTATTATAATTTTATTTTTGAAATGTGTTTCAATCTTTAACTCATCCAACACAGTTATTTTTTTTAATTACGTACTTTTCTCTCATTCTCACGCATTTTGTATGTCATATGTTACGTTAACGTTGGTGAGAGTTTATCATAAAAAATAATGTAAAGTACAGGTTTGTTTGAATATGACAATCTGCTGGTTGTTGAAACTTCAGAAAACTTCTGAAACTTCAGAAGCGTAGGAAATTGATGGCATTCAATCGCTTCTTGTCTTTCCAAGTACTGCTGACATTGAATGTATTATTCAGTACTAATGTCAAAGATATACAGAGAAACCTCTATATAATGTTTTCTAAGGGACCAAGAATTCTGAACACTGTATTAAGGTGCACACTATGAAGAGGGAATCTACAAAAATGTTATGTAGCTCCTTGCCAGTTGTGACATTAGGGTGAGTGCATCCATTGAGCTACAGTGTTCTTCTGGTCTACACTTTCTCTCTTCCCTCTTTCTGCTTAAAACACAAAACCATGTCACCCTGTTGAAAATTGTCAATCCAACCATTGGCAGATTCCAAGCCTTGCAATCTTTGACCCCTAACTGCAAAGCTACTTGTAGCTCCATTTCGTGGAAAATCGTTTCATTTATGGGGATATTTTTGGAACAGTACTTGTTGGAACTAAGTTAATTAAACTTTCTCTGTTTCATTATTGTCAAAGCTTTTGTCTGCAGAGGCTACAAGTGTCCACACTTCTCAGCAACTTCAATTATGGATCATTGGTTTTTCAGTGTAGTGTTGAGAGTGGAGGTGACCAGTTTCAATTGCTTTGCTAGCTCCACTCGACTCTTGCAAGTATTGGCATCTACTTGTTTAATAATTGAAACTTTTTCTTTAACGGAAATCTTCTACCTCGGCCATGTCTATTGTTTAATGAAATCTCTTCCTAAGTGTTATATTCCTGAACTACATTTCCGCCAATTCACTGCACTGTACTTTATCCACCATTATTTTCACAGGTTGCTACAGATTTTCACTGGTTGCTCACACTAAAACTAATAAAATGGTGCCAATGGGACAGACAGCAAGCACAATGTGTGTCATGACTCATGCGACTCGGTCACTGACCCTGATGTGACTGATTCCAGGCTCAGCCTTTTGGAGCCTGTGCAAATTCACAGAACAGAAAATGAAGCATCTTCATTTAGTGGCTTGTATAATAAAGAGGGAAATAATTCTTTAGAGTAACAAAAATACAAGCATTTCTCAGAGGAAATTGTTGTATAGAGGAAATGTACAGAGGGAAATTTAGCATTGTGTATTTTAATCAGGACCAAAAAAAATGGATGTAACATAGAAGAAAACACTATATGGAGGAATGTTATAAAGTGACAAGAGAAAGAAATGGGCAAGAAATCAAATAATAGTTTGACAGGGATGTACTCCAATGGCAGACTTATCATTGTAAATGTTTCTGGCAACATCATTAGTAATTTGGCTCTGTCATTATCACTTGTCAACGTACAGTAAAATCCCATTTTTACATTCCCACATTTTACATAATTGTTCGTTGGTCCCGTTGAAAAGCCTATATTTACAATGCATTCTCTTCACCCAATTTACAACTTGATATGAATAGTGCTTCCCGCCTTTTACGTCTTCTTTTAAAATTTATTTTATTTTATTTTTTTACTTTCTCGTATACGTATGTTTTATAACTAGTGCTGAGAAAGTTATGTAATGCTGCGGCAAAAAACTGCAATTTTTTGACAGAAAAACTCAAACTGATTCAGAAAAAGTGGTTAAATCCTGTTCCAATATGTAGTAAATTACTACATATATATGTAACGAACTCGCAAAAGCCTCGCGTTGGTTCAGATCAATCGAGGAATATCAATTTGGAGAAAATCGGCAGGCGGTTTAGGCGCTTGCATTGACCAAAAACGGGCAAACGGATCTTTTTAGCCAGAAAAACAGCCGTCAATCTATTTTGCGGTTTCATTGACCCATAAAACAGGGATTCAGGTTACACCACATGTTAGAGAAAGTAATTTACTACATATAGGAATGTTATTTATCCACATTTTCATTACCAGGGCATGTCGATAGGAGATTTTCTGACAAAAATCGCTTAGTACTCGCTTAACCTATCGTTTTTCAACTTTCCTGTATTTTACACTTTCCTGAATTTTACACTTTTTTTCGTCAGGCCCCTGAAAAGAGTAAAAGAGCGGTTTTACTGTATTTAAGTTTTTCTTCAATATTCAGATTTTTTAGTTTCTCATCTATTATTAGTGCCTTGTTTTGTTACATCTCAGGTAATCAAAAACTTTTAATGCCTGACCTCTGATATTTTGTTATTACCAAGAGACATTCCTCATCCCACAGAAATGAAGAAATTGTGATGCCAGCAGAGCAAACTGGTCTTGTGCGGGAGAACTACCTCTGGAAAGTACTGCTGCGCAGAGGGGCTGGCCGAGATGGTTCATTCGTGCATGCTCCCAATGGCCTCTACGATCATGATTTGTTCTCTCTGATATGGGGACCTACTGTTGCTGCTCTTAGTTTTGTCTTCGACAAAAGCAACGATGCCACTATATATCAAAAAGCGATATCTGGCTTCAGGTGAGTCAAAATTGCCTGCAGCTTTGTTGCACTGAACACATTATTTTAAGTTATTGCTTGCAGCAAAAACTGCTCATGTATTGGGTGATTCTTAAATAAATACCAATAAAATAATTTTATTTCTTTCCAATTTTCTTCAGTCTAGTTCAAGTGTTAACTGGACATTCATGCCAGATTAGTATTGCTGAAATCTTTTGTGTCACACAGATTAATTCTTTCATACAAGATTGAATGTTACACCAGACTGAGACGTAACATTGAATTACTTAGTGCACCAAAAATGATGCTGTTCAATAATGCAACATGTTTGTAATTATATGGCATTGAATTCTTCTAGTGTGAAAAAGTTGTAATAGAAGAAAACTAGTGGTGCTACAGAATGGCATAGACTTTCCCGCATTAGTTTTCTATTTCCTTTGGTCTCGGCTAGCTATTTAGACTTACCACATACTCTTACCAGCTGCCGTCTATCACCGCCCAAAGTACATTTTTTTTAAAATTTTCTTAATTTTTCAGTTCCCTAATTTATAGATAGAACAAAAATGTTATTTTAAATGTATTAAAGAACAGTAAAACCTCAAACAAAATGGCCCTTCTCTTTGAAAAATTTGGAGCCGTTTTTAAGAAAATGGCATTTAAGCGCTATTGTAAATTCAAAATTTTAAGCTCTTTTTCACAGAAAAGTATTGAGTTTTTGAAAAACTTCATTTGAAGTCTTTTGAAGCATTTTAACACACAAATATAAGAGTGGTTACAAATTTGCTGGAAATGTGCATATTAACAGCGTGAGAGATCTTCCAAAACAATTATATTTGTGTAATTTTTGAAAAAACAAAAAGACCCCAAAATGAATGTTACGTCATATTAAAGAATGCTATTAGCTCTCTCCGTTCGAAAAGTTTGATAAAAAAATTAGAGTAGTTAGAGTTCTGAAAGTGCAGAATTTTGAGCTAGTTTTCACACAAAACGGTTAAATTTTCAAAATATATGACATTATTTAAATCACATATCACATGTACTCATAAATACAATGATGACAACAATTCGCAGGTAATATAAAAATTAACTGCAAAAGAGACAAGTCAAAGAAATTTAAATTCTTGTAAATTTTAAAAAAAATGAATTGAGCAAATTGATATTTATGGCATCTTGTAGACTACATTTAGCACTATCCCTACCAAAAGTTTACAGAACAAATAGTGAGGCATTTTTGAGAAAATCTTATTTTTGTATTTTTATAAAAATGGTACATATTGCTCACAATAATGCGCAAAAGCTACGAAAATTTTCAAAAATATGTGCATGACTCAGATGCAATATGTGCATGAAAGAACTCATTATGGAGAACAAATTTTATTTGAAATTGTATTTTACTCTTATTCTTATAAGAAATTTTAAGAAAACATTTGAAACCTTTTTTGAGAAAATTTTGAAAATGTCCAGATGGCTTTATGTGAAGTACCTCTAAATTTTTAAGAATTTTTTTCAAAATCTCAAAACTGCGACTTGAGCCAGATGGACAGGGGCTTCTTCAATTTGGAAAAAATCCTATGTATGGTGTAGCCGGTAGTGGTGTTCAGACGGTTATGACACGCAGGCAGGACGCAGACGGACGGACGGACGTTTTTGCTGTCAATTGGTTTTTCGATATCAAGTTCCACAGAACGGGGATTTTGGTTCACTAAATGTTAGAGGACATTTGCTTCTTCTGTTTTGATCTAGAATAGCTGTTGTTTATTTACATTATTTACTTCACAAGAATTCACATTAAAAAAAAGTTTGTTATAATAACGTAATTTTGGAAAATTTTGAATTTCTTAGCCACATAATTAATTTGCATGTAAAAGTTAATCTATACATCTGTGCTATTTTCAAATAATATTTAATTTGAGTGATTTACAATATTCTTTAATCAGTGACAGCACAAATCATTAAAAAAAAAACAACTTTATTGCATCTTCAAATAGAAATTGTGTACTGAACTTCTCACTACGATGAAAACACTTTTCTAAGAAAGCTTCCATCTCTTCCACAGTGTGATAGTACAGGGTATTTGATGGTACACCTGTTCCTCACTAGAGATTCTTAATAATTCAATGTTGCATCTGTTATACTTTGTGTGAAGAGTGTGAGTTGTCAAATCCCAGCACATAATTGCATGTGTGCCCTTTGCCCTTACATGAGTAGTCCATGCATTCTCCATTTACAGTTGGTGTGTTTTATGTTTAAAGAAGCTTAGATTTGTGAAGGTAGATGTGCTCATTGATAAGAGATACGTCATCGTGTCCTTGAAAAAATTCAACCAGCACATCACAGTGATTCCCTGTAGCCTATGTTTTGTATTTAACTGAATGAATAAAATAGTGTTTTAAAGAACAATTTAGAGCTATAGAACCTGAGGATTCAATTCATGAGTAAAGTGGTAATGTGAAATGTTCCTGTTACAAGTGTCTTGCTTTTTTGCAATTTTATTTATTTATTATTTTACATATTCTGAAAAAGTGATAATTTATTAAAGATTTTTAAAAAAATTCTCTGCTTTGTTATAGGAAGTGTGCCATGATTTCTGCTCATTACGGCATGAGCAATGATTTTGACAATCTAGTAATATCTCTTTGCAAGTTTACTACTCTTCTTAATAGTGCTGAAACTCCAGAAAATCTAACTATATCTTTTGGAGCTAATCCAAAGGCCCAATTAGCTGCTAAGACAGTGTTCACTTTAGCTCATCGCCATGGAGACATTCTTCGAGAAGGTTGGAAAAATGTGCTTGATTGTCTCCTCCAGTTATATCGATGCAAACTTTTGCCAAAGGCACTTGTTGAGGTAATTTTTTGAGCATGCTTTGAAGTTTGTGAATAATAAAAAAATTCTAGAGTTGTTGACTGTAAGCATTACCTCAAGTAAAAATTAATTTGTCATTGCCCTCCAGTGTTACTGTACAAAAGTATTTTACTCATTTTTGCAGGCTGAAGATTTTATTGAACAAAATGGAAAGATATCATTACTCCGGGAAGAAACTCCTTCACAGAAAACAGAAACAGGACTTTTAAGCTCTATTTATTCATACATTGCTTTGGCTTCAGGTATAATGATTGATTGATTTAATTCCTAATAGCTAAATTAGATAGGAAAAAATTTTAACTGAATACTCTTTTGACTAATTACAATACAGCAAGTATTCCCATTACTCAAGGTAGTTGGACTTGCGACTACATTAGATACCAAAAACCTCAATTAATAAAAACTTGACATTTTATTTCAAATGTTGTTAAATTATGGGGTAAATGAAACACTCATACTGGAAAGAAAAGCTTGATTCACTGTTTCAAGAGTTGAAAGATTTATAACAACAGAAAGTTATATTTTAAGTGGTAGTGATATTTCTTTATTACAGAATAAAATAAATGATCTTCAAAGGCAATTCTTGAAAGACATGTAACTTATATGGTTAAGTTATGGCCTGCAAATATAACTAGGTTGATTGAAATATTCATGTTGTTTTTTTATTGTGTAGTGCTAATTAATAGAATCAATAATTATCGGCACCTAATTTTCAGTTCTGAAATTATTAGGGAATGAGAGGTTTTTATCAAAAGCACCTATGATATTCACATTGCCAAACACAAATATGCATTTACATCTACCAAGATATTGTAAATTAATATAAATTTTGATTTGTATATTATTACAATTGTTAATTGGCAGTGAAGAGAAACAATCAACTATTCCATCTTGAACTTTAGTTGTTACATTCACATTCACAGATGCTTAACCACTTGAGCCATGCTATTTGAACTGGTGTTTCAAACATATTTACTTTTTTCATAAAAGAGAAATGTCAGTGTCTCAAAAGTGAAAACTGTATTGGTAGAAAACTAAGCACATTTTTAAATAATGGGTCTTTTTTGTCTTCTGATAGTGTGTGTTATTTCATAATATACTGTGTAAGATCTGCTTGTTACTTTTTTGTATAAGGAGGGTTACAAAAGGGAATAATTTTCATCCACATGGAATGTAACTGTGGTTGTAGATTTGTTAAAAATTTAATTTCTAAAATATGTTGGATTTCAATGCTTTTTTGAAAAAATATTCAATTTACAATTAAGAATACATTAACCATTGTAGATCTTAATTATAAGTATATTAAACACCTTTTTTTCTGGTCTCCAGAGACTTCCAACCAAAAAGTGCCATCAGCTGAAGACCAAAAACATATTCAGCAGGCACAAACTTGTGTTCGTGAGTGTCATCTGGAACAACTTATCACTGAATCAAAGTTTCTACGCTTGGATTCCTTGCAAGAACTAGTTAGAGTATGTAAATTTGTATTCTAAATCTAAAACGGGAAATAGTAATCTACATTGCAAAGCAAGAAAGTGGATATTTCCATGACTGTACAGGAGAGTTCCCAAATGAGGTGGATATGTATCCCATTATGTCATGGAAAAACATTTTTAAGTGTGTGATGTACAATATTTTATTCAAGATGATAATTAGTGTGATTAAAAATTTAATAGGTGCACGCAAACTACAAAATTTCCTGTTCAAGGATTGGTAGTTATTTTGTTTTATAATAATTGTACTTTCAAGAAGAAGTACTTTTGGTATGTTTCCAGGCTGGTTTTTAAAATAGTTGAACTTTCACATCTGAATACTGTGTCAGTATGCATCACTTCCTAGATGTCCAACTTGCGAGTCCTGAAGGCTCACACCTAATATCTTAATAGGATCATATTTTCATTAGTTGGGCGTTCCATATCTGACTTCCCAATATTGTTGATCTCAGCACTTGCTCTGAAGTGGGGGTGAGGGTGGAGCCATGCATGATAACTCAGAGAAACACATTTACAGTAAAACCTGTCTAAGACAGAACCTGACAGTTCCTTAAGAAAGTTTTTGTCTTATAGATGGTTGTCAAAAAATCATTATGTAAATTAAGTGCAGCATTTTTAATGTAGTAATGGTAGTGAAGCAAAATAATGAAAACAAACCGTATTTTATCACTAGGGGCAGATTTAATGAAATGTCTTTTTTTCTTTTCACTTAAGAAAATTGCTTTTTAGAAAGATATTATTTTTATGTTATGACATAAGAAAATGACCCAAAAAAACCACCCACTAAGCGTGCAATGGTCCCACCTGGTATAACTGCAAGACTCTTTCACTTTTAACTAATAAGCTTTGCGGGCCACAATAAATGGCACCACAGACAGTTTGCGGGGCCACTTGGACAACCCTGTTCTAGATGGTCTCAAATAAATGTTTTCAGTACTTCTGGTGTCTTCTCTAAATTAAGCTGTGATGTCCCATTCAATAGTTACACTCATGTTATTTGATGTCAGATTTTTTTTATTATGAGGTTTTCTTAAACCATTTGTCAAAACTTGTGGTATTCTTCAACTGTCTTTTACTGTGAGATCCATTTATTTAAAAATTGTATAACGTGGTCATAAATGAAATGTTTATTTTTCAGGCTCTTATTTTTGCTTCTCATGGACCTGATGGCCTCAGTTATGATGAGGATGTTGCAGTATTTTTCCTTGAAATGTTACTAAAAGTTGTCATACAGAATCGGTAAGTATAATTTATTCAGAAGAAAATCAAATAATGATGAGAAAAGTGTGTTTTAATTTCAATGGTGTGTACTGTTATGTACATAAACAATCGTTTCTTGTATGCATTTCATCCTTGTTTTTTTTTCTGATTGAGATTCCATTTGTCTTCCAGGGATAGGGTAAATGCTGTGTGGCAAGGTGTGCGTGACCACATATACGGTCTGATGATGGGCGCAGCTGCTGGAGAATATTGTTTCTTGCTAGAGCGTGCAGTTGTTGGTCTCTTGCGATTGGCCATTCGTCTTATGAGACGGGAGGATATGAGCCCTGTTGTGAGTTTGTTAATTATTGTTAATTTAGTTATAGAGGATTCCATTACAATAGAAAAATTACAAATATTCTGTGGACAATTTTAATTACCACATAAACGTATTTAAAATCAAAATTATTTTAATTTTTTAAGTTTCGTTACAAAAGGAAAGAGCATTGTATTAAGTTACAGCATGTCACCATTAGGTATTGTAACTCTGCCAGACTCTCTTTTTTTTTTTTTCTCCCTAGAATTCTTTGAATTGAATCAAAGAATTGAGTGACCACTGGTCATCTTTGTAGATGCATTGACCTCCTCCAAACAAATGTATTATTTTAGATGCTTAACATCTTCATCATAAACATTTTTATACAATTCTCTGAGACTGTTTTGAAAGTACCTGAAAAAGAGGAGGTACCACCAGTAAACTGAGATGTGTTAAATGACTAAATGACTTCCCACCTTTTAAACCATGGCTCAGACAAGGCATAACAAAAGAACACATAGGCATGTACAGTTTACCTAATTACTGTATATAGGATTATGGTACTGTGTCATTACAATGAGAGTATGGTGGTAGTATAATGGCTATTTATGGTGATGTAAATTCTCAAAAAGAATTTATATTACCATAAATAGATGATAAATCAGTATTTTCCATTTGCAAAAAATTTAACCAACTTAGAAAATGAACGAAGCTTTGAAGTATAAGCAAAAATTCTTGAATTATTGCTGGTGGTTTTGGATGACCAGATAAAAATAATTTAGTGTAATTCATTCTAACAATCCTGTATGAAATTGTTTTGTCTACAAGTGCACTAAGGAAAAGTGAGAAGAGCTAGTTAGGTTCTAAAGCACCTGTAAAACAATTAATTGAAAAAATGGAGTTTTTTGAGATTTTTAGATCTATGAAGGATTACCATTATTTCTATTTTTGAAATTGAGGTGTGAAATAATGCTCATTTCAGAGCACTTTTAGAGGAATTATTGGTCAGTTTAAGAGTTAATTTCAGTACTTCATAGTATCAATTCAAAAGATCTTGTTATTGGAAAGAGTGATCATTTCATTGGGATGGTTGTTCAGAGCAACTCCAATGAATAAGATAAGTAGAATTACACACCCATAAATATGTGTAATTGACTAAATTGATTAATGTTTCTACCCATGTTTTTAGGTACTACAGTCACTACGAATGTTGTTGCTCCTCAAGCATACAGTACTTTTCCGTGTGTCACGCCAAGTGGCTTTTGGATTGTACGAGTTGCTAAAAACCAGTGCAGCGAACATTCACTCGGACACTGATTGGGCAATAATATTTTCTCTGTTAGAATGTGTTGGCGCTGGGGCATTACCCCCACGCATTGTTGGAGAGAGTGGCAAATCTTCAACTGAAAATGCAAGTAAGTAACACAGTGCCAGTATTTCGGCAATCGGACAGTGCTCTAAACATTTCTTTTTATCTTTCACAATTTTTATTAACCTCACCCAATTCATTCCTAGTGTTGTGCTAGACCTCAGTTACCAGGTTGAGGAAATTATGCATGACAACAATTATTAGGTTGGTAACAGATTCCAAGTTACACAAAAACTGATAGATTCTCTGAAAGTAAAAGTGGGCTGAATCTTAATTTATCATCCCAATGTCACTTTACTGCATGGATCATTTGTAAATGATTAGTGTTCCATGTCCAGTATTCCATATCAGAATTTTTTAATTAAGATCTAAAGCAATTTATTAGTTGCATTATTTTCTCTTTGTATGATAAAATTTGCTACACAATTGTTCAGATACTCTTATTAAGTGGCTCTGTAGTCCATGATATTAGTATTATTTCTCAATTTTGTTGGGTAGGAGTAAGTTACTCCTGTAATAGAAGTTTTATATGAGCAAAGTGAAAGGCTAGAAACTGTAAAAACATTTTGTTTCGACAGGTAGTGTTAATGGATACAATTTCTGTGAATGAACAAAGAACTTTGTTTCAAATGTAGTGTATTAAAACTGAGTGAGTTAATATCAGAAGTATTATTAATTTCCAGTGCATATTAAATAAATAATCACTTTACTGAATTAATCTTTTCTTTCACTTTTGAGGAAAACAATGAATGCTCTTTCAGTCTGGTTTTCATTTTCATTGCTTGTATTAATAAATAAATTATGAATAATTTTCAATCCATTGACTTTTGTTTGAACAAAAATTCTTGTAAAATTAATATTGAAGTTCAGAAATTTTGAATTTCAAGGAATACATGTACTTATAGAAAATTAGAAAGTGATATTTTTAATTATGAGACTTTTTGCTACATAATTAATTAAGAAAAACATTATTAAAATCATGTTCAAAGAGGCAATTTAGGAGTATGGGTTTAAGGGCTACTACCAAAGCACTCATTTATTTCTTGCTTGCTTTTAATGAGAATTTATGTAGAAATGTAAAGAAGGCAAAATATAATAATGATTATAATAATGTAATTAGTTAATTACTATAGTTAACTAATGGACTGGTGTTTGCATTTAGCAGCCAAATCAGATGGAGAAGTTCCCCGAGAGGAGGATAGTGGTTTGGGAAATGACCGAGGATATACCTCAGATTCAGAACTCAGTCGAGCTACCATTTCCCCACGGCCCACCTCCCCCGAACTGAGCCCCAACACAGGGGGAGGTTGGATTCTGGTAAGTAAGATGGTCCCCTCCCTTTTTTATTTTGTTTATAATAAAGGATGTTCTAGCACAAATTTAAAATCAGCCAGTGGGGCAAATTTATACTTTCTCATGTTGCTGGCAATGGTTACTTAATTAATAATTACTTAATACTAATACAATTGTAACTTTTATCCTACAAATGTTTAAGCCATCATTTGAAAAGGTAGCCAAACATAGCCCAAGAGATTCAAAGAATATATATTTTTAATTTTTGAAAATTGGCAAGTTTAATTGAAAATGGCTTTATCATTGAATTTAGTATGTGTATTGTACTGTATTATTAAAAAAAGTTGAAAGAAAAAATATTTTCTTGGGCTGGGATTTGAACTAGATTGCTTAGGCTTTAGGAGCTTTCACAAGTTCTACTGCAAGTACTTCTACTGCAGTATCTGCCTTCTTTTTCTTCTTGTTTTTATTCTATTTCTTTGTCATTTTCTAAAGTAATTACTAAAAGGAGGAGTTGTTCATTTCCAAAAATATATATTTTATTGTATTTGTGCATTAATCTAGAAAATGCACTACTAATGTCTGCACTTCTTTTGATATATGTAAGTGAATCAAAAAGTAATGGATTTACCCTGGCAAAAGAAAAATTTAAGATGTGACTGGCGATACATTTGCATTTGTTAGTTTTGGGGAACTTACAAATACATTTTGAAAAAATGTCTAATACAATTCAAACTTACCAGCATGACACCAATCTGTCGTGCCTGGGAGGGTCATTCTAAGAGTTGTGTGATTGGTGACATTGGGAGGAGCGTTTAGAAGTAAAGTCACAAGGATGGTTAATAGTGAAGAAGTAAGTGTTTGATAGTAGTGTAGGTATTGTGATTGGCGGTAGAGAGAACATACAGCACATGGTCAAGATTTGTGGAGGACTCCAACCACAGTTAAATAAGCAGACAGACAGGCATTAGACCAAGTACTGGTTGCCACCGTCTACAAAGAGTTTAGTAAGATTATAAGATTGGACTTGACATTAAAGACGATCAAAAAACCAGTCCTTAGAGAGTTTTTGATAATTATAATAAGGTATCAAAGTTCAGGATGAGCTCATCATGACTGAGTATTGGTATTTATTGTATTGCAGATTAGCCTGTTACTCTGCCCGTAGGAGATCTGACAATTCAAGATAGCATTTAATGACAAGCCATCCCCTGTCTTGCTACTATGAAATAGCCATAAGTAAATTGATGAATGACTATCATAGGGATCATTAAGTCTCCTCAGCTTACAACCTAATCCTTACGGATGATGATGATGATAGAATCAACATTTGGTTGGCCATGGTCAATAATACAAAGATTCAAATTTGTACCTGGATATGTCTGGTTTGCAGGTGGGACGAGAAGGGGAGATTCAGCCCTTGCAAGTACGCCCCCTCCCCATCAACCAGTTCAGCATTGTGTTGGAGCGGGAGCTGGTAGCTCATGACCCCTTTGGTCTCGTTAAATGTTGTGAGAGCCTTGCATTCCTTGTTCGAGATGTTGCTCACATAACTCCTTACAACTTCGAGAACTGTATTCATTGCATTCGTACCTTTGTGGAAGCTAGTCTCAATGGAAGTAAGTATATAAGTGAATTACTATGGCAGATATACCCTCTTTAATCATTATTGTAATGTTTAGGGTAGAAAATATTTATGTCTCTCTACTCCAATTCATTAAAACTTTTTAGACATACGAGTGAACAGAAATGTTCGTTGATTTAGTCATTAATATTTTCATTTGCAATTTATTACACAAAATATATTTTAGTGTTAATTATTAATATGTTCATGTTTGTTCAGTTAATTTATTGGTGATGAATTTTAGGAGGTATTTCAATTGAATTGAATCCACATCAATGAAAGAAAACATTGTTATTTATTTGTCAGTCAAGTTGGCTGGTTGATCTTCATGTATAATCATTGTCTTCTTAAACTTTAGTAATAGTGTCTGTCTTGACAAATCATTTCATTTCATTCCATTCCAATTGTTTGAGAGTTTAGGCTTTTGTGGACGGAGTCAGTAAATACTTGCTGTCTGGGAGGCGCTGCATCCTAGGCGTCCTAGATACCAACGTTTCGGCCTTCATTCTGTGACCTTCCTCATTTCGCTGTGAGGAAGGTTGCAGAATAGTGGCCTAAACGTTGGCAACTGTGCCTAGGATGCAGCATATCTCTAACAGCCAAGTATTTACCAATTCCAATTGTTTGCATTTATATTAAATAATTTTAGTACATTTCTGAAACATTTTGCTATAACTGTTAGTTTGAAAACATTAATTTGATTGTTGTGGCAGAACAATACATATAATATAGAACTAGTATTTAACTTTGTTTTGTTGTATTTTTTAATTGATCCAAGTTGCAGAAATGTAATTGAACTAAACAAATATTTCAGCAAATAAGCCAATGCTTCGAAAAACTCCTGGATCCCCGAAGGAAACAAAGCAGCGTAAAAAGTCGTCAGGGAGGCGTAGAGAGGATGGATCAGCACCTCCACACAGGTCACGCAGTCCTCGGGACCCAAACCCATATGATGCAGATGAGAGTGATTCAGAAGAGCTGCCCAGTGGCTATCACCAAGTTTCTATTCAGGTAGAGCTGATTTTGTAATGTATTCCCTGCACAGGTTCCTTCTCTTAACAATACCAAAGTAATGTTCTTTTGACTATAGGGTGTGCTTAGCGACCATCATTAAAATTTCGCTGGAAATACTTAAAAATTATAATTTTATCATATTCCAGTAGTCATGCAAAAAGAGAGAGAGAGAGATAAAGAGATATCCATCAGCTAAAGGGCACAATAAATGACAAAAGACTTAGAATATTAACCTTTCTAACAGTTCTCAAGTCATTTTAAAGAAAAAATTGTAAACTACCAGAACAGATCAGATGTTAGAGATTTTAAAGTTAATCCAAGTTTGGGACAATCAATATAATTATTGAAATGTCTGCTTAGAAATACAACTTTGCAAAAACATTAATTTTAAAAATAGTTTGTCACTTTGTACTTAATTGACGTTGTTTGGAATCTAGAAGTAAATTGCTTTACTTGATTTGAAGGTTAATTTAAAGCTATCGTCATTGGTGAATGAAATTGTTGTATGGTTTATCTTTCGACAGCTCCTCGACCTGATGCACACATTACACACACGGACCGCACAGATTTTCCGATGGTGGGCTGAAGAAAGTGGTGATCCTGACTTCACATCATTGTGGGCTCGCGGGTGGTGCCCTTTGCTACAGGGCATTGCTCGTCTCTGTTGTGATAGTCGCAAGCAGGTGTATAGCCTTTTTATGTTTTTGCTGTGAATTAATATATTTATTTGTAATTTTATTTTCAATTCAACAAGTGAAAAGAAGCTCTCTTTATTCATCTAACTACACACAACACCACTGTAAATAAATTGAATATAAAATTATAAATATTTTTTGTAACATCGCTACCACCTTTACTACTTATTCTATTTTTTATTTAGTATATTGTTTTCATTCATTGCTCATTATGTTTGATGTTAGATTGAAATTATCTTGAAATGCTTCATTCACTTACTTAAGTAGCAATTAAACTACAATTATGCTTTTTTGAAGGAAGAGTAAGAAATTACTATTTCAGTAAGGGATAAAGTGATTGTAACAAATATAGGCAGTGAAATGTGTTTGTGACTTACTGACAAATAAAGTTAATAAAGAAGGAAAATTGCATCAAAAGAAAGTAATAGTCATGAATATTTGGGATGACTTCCACAATTTGGCTTAACTGTATAATAAATCTTGGAAAATAATGAATATATTTTGAACCTTTTTGAGCTGCAATTATTTAGCAGATAATACAGATAAAAATTACAAATTTGAGAGAATTTAGCTACAGTTTCTCTGCGTGATGGGGTGGTGCAGATAAATATAGTAATTACTTCTGAAAATTGTATACTCTAAATATTCTCTCTAGGAGTTGGGCCAAATTGTCCTGTCTAATGATGTTTTCTTTTTCTTCATTATAATTTTACATTTGTATTGAATTTGTTGTAATCTTTGTTTTTTGTATGTGTGTATAATTTGACATTTTCTGCATAGGTGCGAACAAGTGCCGTCACCTACTTGCAGAGAGCGCTCCTTGTGCATGACTTGCAAACACTATCTGCTCATGAATGGGAGGGCTGTTTCAACAAGGTGCTATTTCCATTGCTAAGCAAGCTACTAGAACCCCTCAGCCCCTCTGATCCACTGGGATTGGAGGAGACACGCATGCGGGCTGCTACTGTTCTTTGCAAGGTATCCAACATAAATATTTGAAAATCCTGAAAATGAAGACTTGCTTGTTATACAATGATCAAACTTTTTATGAAACAAGTGTTATGACACTTTTATAAAAAGTTTTGTGAAACAAATTGTCTGACACTGTCACATTTTTAATAATTTTTGTTTCAACTGATTGGGCTCTTTCAGAAGATCTGATTCCTTTTAAGAGATGTATGTGAGGCAGCAACCAAATTTTTCACAGATTCCAAAATAGTTGAGGATCACTGAAATCAACATCACTCTCTAAAATGTGTTCTTCCTTCAACTAAATGAACTGGATTACTAGTTGATAATGCCGCAAAACCTCGGTTCAGTGCATTTGAGTTCAAACTAATGCTGTTGCAGATAATGAATAGTTTTCGCATGTGATATAGTTTCTTTCAATACTGTCACTGAAACAAAATAATGTAAGAATTGTTGTAGATCATATTGTAAAGCATTTGAAAATATCAAAATCAATTTTTTTTTTATAGAAAAATTAAAAATGGAACTTCATTCATCAAAGATAAGCAGTGTGTTTATATTTGATGATTGAAGCCCTATTTTTATTTTTCTGTCAGAGAAATATCTCACACTCACCTTATTTCACACCTTTAATTAAACTCGCAACCAGACCAACTTTTCAACAAAGAATTATCCATGTAAATAATATTTCTTAAAAAATGAAGGTTTGACAAAAATAGTTGGGGGCATTTTACTTACTGTCCCCTCAATTTGATTTGGCAGAATTGGATTTGAAAGTTGTTGAAGGATACAGGGGAAGAAGCAAGTCAATTTTTTTGTACTTTAATTTTTGTAAATTTTAATTGAGTTACAGATAATGTACAATGCAGATTGGATAGAAGTTTATTTCACAAACTGGAAAAAAAAAATGTATTCGTCAAGAGATATTAGCCCTTAAAGTTTTGACTTTCAGGCAACTTGGGTAGTGTTGCAAACTTTAAAAGTTGTTTTTTCTGTGTTCTTGAGAATATAGTTTTGCCTGGTTTTTTCCTTGTACCCTTCAATTGATGTCATGACTACATTGCCAGGAAGCAGTGGGAGAATATGACCATATGCCACTGCTGTTGGGAATGGCATACATATTGCCCCCATTGTCAGCAGCAATCAACCAAATTCATGTATTAAATTGTATTGCATGTGCTCAGGTTGTCTGATTAGGTTATAAGCTCATTTTTCTTTAATGGTAATTTTTATGTATTTATTTAATGGATCACATGAACTGCAAGGGCATTATGTGATATTTGAAATGTTTGTGCCCTAATCAAATGTTTATTTTCTAGGTTTTTCTACATCATTTAACACCACTCCAATCTTTGCCTACCTTCACAGCATTATGGCTTACTATCTTGGATTTTATGGATAAATATATGCATGCAGATAAGAGTGACTTATTGGTAAGAAATCTTTAGAGTTTAAATTATTCATATAAAATGTCCTGATTGTTTTTTCTAATTACATTCAAGATTATTCCCTCTATTTTGTAATCCCATTGCCCATTATAGCCAAATAAATATTCTTGCATGTTTTCTGTAAGTATTATAAATACAGTCCTATTAATGCAATTAATTTCTTTTTTGTCTTTCATTTAGTGTGAAGCGATTCCAGAATCTCTCAAAAATATGCTTTTGGTGATGGACTCAGCTCATGTGTTTTCAACATCTGATGGATACACACCTCTATGGACGATTACGTGGGACCGCATTCATGCATTTCTTCCAGGTCTAAGAGATGAACTTTTCAAGAGTCATGCAGGTGAGTTAAGACAAAATTCTCTGATCTTTCTTTATTTTGCTGTTTCTAGGATATTTTTGAGGTTTAGTTACAAAATTAAAATTATATGGAGGTTTTGAACCAAAGGTTTAGGGCATGAACCAGTTAGGCATCAACCTGATGCACAGAACAGGTGAAGTTCGGTATCTAAATCCCAAAATAGCTTCATAAAAAACACTAAGACTCTTTTTTTTTATTATTATTATTATTCAGTGTACTTCCCATATATGTAGATGGGCAAATTTTCACCCTTTGTGAAATAAATTAATTCATAAAATCATGAAAATAAATATTATCATTATATTAAACAAATTTTAAAAGTTTGTACAATTCACACTTCAAATTCGTAAAAATAAGTACGGATTATTTGAATTCTTTGTTACAGTTAAAAGTTAGGCTCTTTCATTTCTCACATAGCAAATGTTTCAGTCACACAGTATTATCTTGATTAACAAAGTTATCAGTTAATCCTAAATCTGTATACCTTAATTGAAAAAATAGCAGTTGTTGCTACAAAATGCTGTTTATGAAAAAAAATCTCTTTGGCTCCTACTTTCAACTTCTGTTTTTAATTTTAAGCTCATTCCCACTTATAAATCTGAATACCTCATTCACAGGAAAAGGATCTGGAAGCTGTCAAAATGTTTCAGGAGAGCCAGGCTCTAGGCAGCAAGCTGGAACGGCAGAGGAAAGGCCCCAAGACACTAGTGGTGTAGCTGCACTCCCTCAGCAACAGGTCTCCAGTGGCGAAGTGCTCCATCTGCATGCCAGCGGTTCCCCTCCTCCTCCCTCGCCACCACCTGCTGTCCCCCACGCCACATCTGCCCCTCCCCCTGCCACGTTCCCTGCGCCAGCGCCGGTCCCCAGCCCACCCCTCTCTGGAGCGTCATCGCCGCCTATATCAGCTCTGGGACACATTCATCCCACACCCATCTTTACACACCTCGGACAGCAGGTATTGTGAATCATACCACTTTGCTGAAACAAACAAAAACAAACTAGAGGTCATACAACAGCACGTACTTTCTCACAATATTATACTACAGCATGAACCATTAAAAATGTTTTCAACCAGTAAAACCTTTTTTCCATGTCGAGACTCTAACTCAGGTCCACCAACTTAACTCTATGTCATTCCACTTCACCAGGCAGCCCTCTGACATACCTTCTTGGGCCAATACTTAAAAATACAATTGTCTCATACTATTTCCAGCATGTAATTTTTGACAATTCAGAGAGGTCAACAAACGTGAGACCTACGCTATTCTTTTAACACTACAGAGACGGCAAAGCTATTCTACCTACCATGACTGTGAGCAGTCAAAATAATGGTTTCAAATAATTTTTTATTTATTAAGTCAAGTAGACAGCTATTCTCTTCATGTCACCACATTTGCCATTAACTATTCGTCTTCTCCCAGAACAAGTGTCATTGTTTTAGGTATATCTCATTTGACACTGTCAATGCTTTTTTGTCCCTTGAATGTTTGTACTGTTGCACTCTGTGACAAGTGATGCCCTCTTGGAATGTTTCAAGTCTATAGCAGTGGCACGCGATGTTCTTCATCTAGGTCCAGAAAATACAACCGCCAGGACATTTTGTTTCTCAAGACCTTTTCATACAGAATCTTGGAATTGATTCCAGTTAAATCGATGTTGTTATGAAATACTAAGACAGCCCAGTCCCTGAATGAAGGTTTGACAGAGCCCGTGTCATTTTCTAATCATCTGAATCGCATTTAAAATGAGCAGTCACTTGACTGCTACCCACTCATAAATATTGTTGAAGGTAAACCATGAAGAATTAGCTATTATCTTGAAAACTAAGATGTGAGAAATAATTGTAGTTTGATATTTTATAGAACATCTTTAAATATTAAATGTCACAAAATATTATAAAAATTAATCAATAAATATAGGCACAAACAAAAACTAAAACTAGTCAAAATGACTGCTCCCATTATTGTGGCGTTAAGTTTCCCTTATTTTATCCATAGAAAACATTTTGAGCTGCTTTTGAGAAAATGTTTTTTAAAAATTACATATATTTTAAGGTGAAACTATGTGTAAACTACTTGTTTTTTCATAAAATTGTTCAGAATCTTTCTTAAAGCTCTATTTTTTTGAATAGATTTTGTTGAAGGCAAAAATCTGTATCTTCTATTTTGTAGATTTAAAATATTAACTTTTCTCAATTTTTGAAAACTCAGAGAGTTCACTAGAAACAAGACTTGCACCACCATTTTTGATAGTCCTTTGATACATAAAAGGAGAAAATTAAAAAAAAAATTGGAGCAGGTTTTTGAAAAAAGGTTGTTTTTTTTCCCTCCTGATTCATCCCTCCCAAAAAATTGCACATGAACTTTATTAAAGATTGATATTTGAGAACACATTTTGGTAATGACCCATCCTCTTGCCAGCTGCCATTTATCGCCACCCAAAATACATTCTTTGAAGTTTTCTCAATTTTTCAGTTTTCTAATGGTTAATTTAAAATATTGCTTTTTATAGAAGATGGCAGATGGTAATAGTTTATTATAGATGGTATTGGTAGATCCAAAATATTGCTTTTTATTATATATTAAAGAAGAGTTAAACCTCATCCTATATGAAATTTTTGTTGAGCAAAATTTGGAAAAGCCTGTTTTCATACCAGAAAAATCTTTTTAAGCTCTAGTATAAATGCGAAATTCGAAGCTCTTATTTCCAGACGTTTTGAAAACACCTGCATTATTGGGAATCATCTGAACAGTTACATTCCACCCACCAAATGCCAAATAATGATACACAAATCACTGGAATTAGGCATATTAATGGCATTGGAGAGATTATTTCAAAAAAAATTATGTTATTGTGTAATTTTTTTTTTTTAAAAAAGCAAGAGAGTACAAAGAAAAATAAAATTTTTCATCCTAAACAGTGCAATTATTACTATCTGCAACAAAAAGTTAAAGAAAAAATTTGAACACTTCTGGAAAATGCAGAATTTTGAGCTTGCTTTCACAGAAAATTTTTGAGTTTGCATTGAAAACCTCATAAGACATCATTTAAAGCCACATGTACTTGTGAATGAATTAATTGAACAAATCACTGCTAATGTAAATATCAATGATGTGAGAGGCTTTGTCAAAACACAAAATTAACATTTTTTTAATTTTTGAAAAAACAAAAAGAATACATTAATATGCCTTTTGTGTCATCTCTCAAATGCATTTAGCACTACCCCTGTCAAAAAGGTTAAAAGAAAAAAATTTGAGCCATTTTTTAAGAAAATCTGTTTCTGTTATTTTGTTTTTAATTGTACTATTGCATGCACCATTTCAGTGATAACGACTGAAAGTTTCAAAAGAATGTAGATGACTCTATTGAAAGAACTAAACATTGGAGAAAAAAGTTTCATTTCATGGAAAAATCTCTATGATCGATTTCATAGTTGTAGGAAGACACTGAAAAAAATTTGAACTTTTGCAATTTTTGAAAATTTAGAATTAACAGAGAAAATTGGAACCTGAGCCATCTTAGAAGTGTTGTGTCACTCTTATTCCTACAAGAAATTTAAAGAAACCAATTTTGAGCCATTTTGAGGAAAATTTTTTGAAAATGTCTTAGGGGCTTTCATGTAAAGTACCACCAAAAATTAATTAATATTTATCAAAATCGCAGAGCTTTGACTCAAGGGCAGATCAACAGGGATTTATTCAGTTTGGAAAAAATTGTACTCGTAAGGAAGACGTTAGTGTTGCTCATATAACAGTGGACAGACAAACGTTTTGAAAAAAAAACCAACTCTTTTTTCAAGTATCGGGGGACAAAAATGTATATCCATTGAAATCTTGAAATCTATTTTCCATAGCATTACATAACTTTCTCTTAACTATGTATATTACTCATATATACGTAAGGAGTAATTTATCAGAGTTGTAGGAGTATATTACTGCATATATATGTACATAGATGAGAAAGTATATATAAGACACAACTGTAATAAATGATAACTTTTTTGCAAATTTTCAAAAAATCAGGGATTTTAACAAAAATAAGACTTGCATGGTTCTCTGAGATGTTTTTTAAGCTAAGGATGAAGTTTAATAAAAAAATTTAGAGCCACTTTTGAAAAACAAATTGAATATGTTGAGGCTTCATATACACCCTCCAAAATCAAAATATTCATTTCAAACTTAGGGAAACTTGAGTTCATTTAACTCAATCGGGGAATACTAATTTTTCAAGAAGAATCTGTTGAGGAGTATGGGCACTATAGCTGACCATGGATGGACATAAGCACGGAAGTTTGTTTTGCTGTCAATTGAATTTCAACTATAAAGGACCCCCAAAACATGGATTCTGACAACACAACATGCCATCATATTAGAGGAAGTAATTTTCTTTATGTAGGGACAAGATATATGCATTTGGCAATATGGGTTTTGTGTAAAAATATTCGCCAATTTCTGGTTCACAATCATGTACACTTCACTATCTCTTTCTACTAATATTACGTTCTCTACCTATTAAGTAAGAGCAAGAAAGTAATAATTGGGTGTTTCTCAGCTATTGCTTCTTGGCAAATGTTTATTTGTTCTTTGCTCTCTAAAATAATCTCATTTAATTCTCTGAAAAGTTGCACAGCTTGTATTAAAAACTTTTGAACTGACGTTTTCAATACTATGTATTTACATCTGGAATCAGTTAGGTTGTTATATTTCCATGTATAAAATTGAAATTTGTGTTCAAATAAAACATTTTTTAGAAGCTCTTGTAATAAATTTCACACTTTGTCTTTTCCTGATTAGATTTTAAAAAATTATTTCATAATAAATGAAAGTAACTTTTAGTTGTTTTTCTTTTTATAATTTGTTTCTGTAACTTTTTCTTTAACAAAACTCTTTAAAAGTGTGTTGATATTGAATTGATTAGTACGTGGTATCTATAATCCAAGACTTGAAAGAATAAAAAAATCCAGCAATTAAGTACAAAAACAGTGAAGCTGGAAGCTAAATTTCATATCCAAACCTCATAATTCTAAATATGAAATAATGATTAATCATTATTTTTTTGTAAAAAAACATCCAAAGAAATGTCATTGGAGTTGGCCAACTCGATGCTGCTGGTTGAAAGCTCATGGGGCAATGTAAAGACTTGTCAAGAATATTCATTATAATAAAGAGCCTCCTTATTTAAAGAAAGTATGTGAACGCAAATGTTACCCAATTGCAGTTAGCAATTGTTGAATGAAACAATCATACAATTTTTATTTGAGCAATTGCTTCTATATAAATAACTAAATTTAAGAACAACATCAATGATGGTATGTTGAGAAGCAGTAGTTTTTTTCTGCAATGGTTTTTTAAATGCCAGTTTGCATTCATTGCAAGATTATTGTGGTAGAGGCTGTGAATCAATTCTTAATTGCTGTTTCAGATGATTTCTACCCCTATTGGAGCTCCAGTGCCTCCCACTACGCTTGTGCCCTCACAGCTGGACACAACGAGGTCGACACTCCTTCCAGAGCACACTCACACCCCTACGCTTCCTCTCTTTGTTCCTGCCGTGAGTGCTCCCTCTCCGGTCCCTGCCTTTTCAGCATATGCTGTGCAAGTAAGCGATGCTTCATCCACCACGAGAGTTTTCCCAGCCCACTACTTCTATTCGGACCCACAGCAAGCCAGTGTAAGTTAACCACACTGGGGGATCGGGAGCCAGGAGCAGTGGGTTGTGCAAGTCAGTGATGTATTTAGTGAAGGGGAGGGCAGGTATGTAATGTGCCACAAGAGCAAGTGACAAGGGGTTTCCATCCAGCCTTCTCCTTTTGTGAAAAAAAAGTGAATGACAATTTTGGTTAATATAGCATCAATCGTCGAATGATAATTTTGGTTAATGTAGCATGAATACATGCATTATTTGTTGAGTTCATTTTTTTGCTAGTGATGGTAGGGGTGGGAGAAGATCAATGGTCAGATCATGGGGTCAGAGGGCGAAAATGTCTCTTTTCAGAAGTTGTTAACTTCGCTTAACTATACATTCAACTTGTATAGTTCAAAGGTTGGAAAAAGATTCTGGAGCTCAAGAAAACATATGCAAATGGTACTTCATTACATAGTTTTTACTGTTCTTTTACTAAATAAATCAAAAGTAATATTGGTAGCAGTTCTTGCAAGCAGGTGCAAGAGTAGAGTCTGTCTTTTTAAGAATATTGAGTTTTTGTTTTACTTCTACAATTCAATTTCAGTTATGTTTTTCTCATTTGTTCATTTTTCCCTTCATTCCCATGAGGAATTTATAAGTGAAGTTTTATTGTAACTGTGTGTGTGCGTTCCTGCATGTTTGTGCGTGTATATGTGTGTGCATGTGGGTGTGTTTAATACTATTTGTGTGTCTTTAAAAATGAATTTTTATAAGAAAACTGCTTTAATGAAACTCACCAATTAAAATCTAAATTTTACTGACTTTAGAATTAGTTGGCTGTGCACCTAACAATCAAGACTGTAGGGAATTTTTGAGGGAAGTAAGACTTCACAGGCCAAAAAATTTCTGCAGACACTGTAAAGGTGATAGTGCCTCCAATTTAATTTAATTGGATTTTTTTAATTTTTTTATAGTTCAGTTTTTTCTTTGTAATGTAGATACAATTAATATACCATTAATGACAATATTTCATTTATTATAACAATTTACATATAACATTTTAAATTTTATATATACTCCAGTCTAAAACAACAAATGTAATTAAATATTCTATAATTTTCAATTCTATATTTCATTTAAAATTAAATGAAAATTGGTGAATATGAGGATCAGCTATAAAATACAAGAGCTTTGGGTTACTCTGTGCTCTTATTGAAATATATTAGTCTAAGAAGCACAAGAAGCATTGTTTAAAACATATTAATTAACAAAATAAAAAAACCTAATTCAATATATTACAGTAGACCCATACATGATTTCTGAAATTATCATTCCCTCCAAATACTGTTACCATGTTTAAAATAAAGAAAAATAATTTAAAAAAAAAGAATTTACGTTAGAATTAAATTCCTACTTAAAATAAGATAACTTGAAGTCTACAAGTTAAATTGTTTGTGCACAACACCTTTCTTTGAGTCCAGCAGCACACCCAATCAGTTCATACATTCAGCCTCCTTTCACCTTTCAAATTCATAAATTGCTGATGCAGAACTCCTTTACGATAATTATTAGTATTGTTCAACCCATCAAGCCCATTCCAACCAAGTTAACCTTGGACCTGAGACCAGTGAATGTAATTCTCAAGATCGCATTTATGTATTACACTTGTTAAGTAGGCAGGCAGGACCGTTAACAAGTAGCCACTGACAGGAATTTCTGGAAGTGCTGAATTTTGAGGACTTGCTCCAACCTTCGTTTCAACAGGAACCACGGAGTTTTGGACATGTTTTGCCAAACACAGGTCATTTGGGCAATTATTAAATGATGTGCAATTTGGGCAATTATTAAATGTCAACAGTGCCAAAGAAATTATAGTATTTTGCAGTAGTATAAATATGGTGTAGTAACATCAGAATGCTAAGTTTACAACAATTTTTAAACTTAAATATTGTTTGTGTTAAAAAAAAAGATTAAATTATTCCTGTGCTAATGCTCACAACCCTAACGGTTATAAAAATGACAAAGGCAAGGGCTCCACCTTTCCCTTTGTTTTCAGCTCCAGAAGGTTATTTGGAATGCCATATGTTACTGCTGCTTTGAACCTGGGACTGCTTCACAGAATGCTAGCATACTGCCAGTGAGCCCCCTCATGGAAGTGTTATGACATCATAAACCCAAAATAATTATAGGAGAATCTCAATAGCACATTTTGCAAGGAACTGAAAATTTTGGGTATTGTGAGTTGGGAAAACTCGTTTTCAAAAAATGCCCAATTTGTCATTACCACAATTTCCTTCTCAGAATACTACAATAGAGAATAAAAACGGATTGTTACTTAAACAGGCACAGAAAGTCACCTGAAATGAACCTTTCGTTGCAAATTACAAACTTAATAACAAGGAAATAGACAATATTGTAATAGGCTGATTGCTTATCTGCAGAAATCTTAGGATGAAATGCTCTTTACTATCCTTCACTATACATGTGTTGGCTCAGCACTGAATCCAAAGATTGACTCAAGCTGAACTGGCACATGCTAAGTCCATGACACCCTCTCACATGGAGGAATAGATACACCTTTAGAGTAAAACATAAAGGTAAACCTGTGCCCTACCTTGTGTGGTGTTTGAACATCAATATCCTTCTATGTGGATCAGTTTTGCCATCTTTTCAGGTCTTAAAATGCATACAAACTGCATGACTGTCATCTTTCATCCTTTACATATGTTATCAATGCTAATGGTGGGACTGCTTTTGATGGCTAGCTATTGTTAAATGGTACTCCTACATGGGAAGTCTCTTGTCAGAATTATTACCAGATGTGGGCTGTCATTGCCAGAGGCATTCAATATTGAGTGTGGACTTTGTCCATTGGTTGAGTTTCAATGATGTTGCATCAAGGAAGACACTTCCTGCGCAAGAGCACCTTTTCATGGTAGTAAAAAAGTTCTGTCACTATGTGCTAATAATATATAGGCAATAAGAATAAAGGAAGCTATCAGAAAATATTTTTAAAAAACTAGCATCCTTGTTCTATAAAATTCAAAGAAACCTGTTGTAACACAAAGAACGATATGGTGGAGAAACAGAAGTAGAACACGTTTCTCCGGCAAAAGATTGTTAACCAAACGGATTGAAAATATTCTGAATACTTTCTTCAAGCACTCATTTAAATTCTTTATGCCCTCAAGTACCCCAAAGTACTGTGAAAATAAGAGATATTGAAGAATCATGTGAATTGAAGAACAAGTTACTGACAAACTTTAAACATGCTCATTGGGATTTCAAATCTATAAACAAGTAATTTAATGGGACTAGGACTTATAAATTAATAGGTACTGAGCAGGAAAACTGGGAACAAGCTAATAAGATTCCACTATGTATTATAAAAGTACTCCCCAATTTTTAACATTCTGAATTTGTTGGCATGATTGGCCTTGTCTTTTGCAGACCCAGCAAGTATTCCCTGTGTCGGTGGCTGCTCCTCCCAACGTGACTGGCAGCCCTCCATCTTCACTAGCACCTCATTTATTTCTTCCCAGTTCTCCACCTACTGTGACATCAGTACCCCTTCTGTCATCAGTCAACTCACCTGACCAAGTAATTCACAGTGGACCTTAATGTTCCACTACTTAGGTAATTGGGATGTTTTATTTATGAGTAACAAATGAATACATGTTGAGTAGCAAAGTGTTATGCGTGTATACATTTATGTACATTCTGGTAGAACGGTTTATATTGTGAATTATGTATTCTTAAAGTTATCGATGTATCTAGCCTGTAGATAAGATTTTACTGTTTAATATTTTATATGCAGTCTGAGAAATAGCAAGTAGGATAAATGAGGCAGGAGCCTATATGTAGATGGAAACGGGTGGTCAAGTGTGTACTCTAAGAAATGATTGTTAAATCAGTTGTGTAGAAAAATGCATTTTTGTTGCATTTAGACTATTGGATAAAAAATACCTGTTTGGAATTGGTAGTACAAGGGTACAAATCTATGTTTAAGTTGCAAGAATCTGCTTGCATCAGAACTGTCATCTTTCATGGGACAGTAAATATGAATGTTTGGGGTCACTAGTTGAAATTGGTACTCTAAACATATTCAGTTTGTAAATAGTATATTGTATTTATTGTGATGTCAAAACAGAATGTTACAGTTGAAAAAATGTGAAGAGGAAGTAGTCTGATGACTCACTGATGTATTTGTGTTCCATCAACTAATGGAAAGAAGTTTCAGGAAAAAGAAAGTAATGTCAACTTAATGTTTTCAATGAACTAAGGATAAATTTGTTAAAATTCATAAATATCCAAGATTGTTTCCAAAAAAAGGGAACAAGTAATTGTCTAAAAAAATTGATATAATGTGTAAAGATGAGTTTATTAAATTATCAAGCTGTTTTAAATTCAATCTTTCTCATTGTTTCCTGGAAATTTCTGAAGTAAATAAAGGGATAGGGCTATTCAGATTTAGTTTTTATAATGAATTAAGGTAAATATTGCTGTGGAGTTATAATTACAAATGAAGTGCCAGCTGTTTTTGATATGTTAAAAGCAATACCTTAAAATAAACATTTATGACCATATTCTTGTGACTGTAAAATTTTCCGAACTTTAAAGTACTCTCTTGATATTTAATTTATGAACAGTCTTTATCTTGAAATTTCTACTTACACAATAAATTTCGTGACATTTCATATCAATAGATTCCAGATTATGTCTATCAAAAATAAAAAAATAGAAATGTTTTTGAAAACTGCTTATCTCTTTTACATTACCAGATATTTAGTTTTCTTACAAAAAATGTTCAATCTTAAAAAAATAATTCTCATTTAACAAAAGTAAAACTTGGAAAAATCATAAGCATATAGGATGAGAAGTGAGATTCTCATTGCTCTCCTTTGAAACAATAGTGCAGAGAAAACCAAAGAATATTTCTGAGAATTTCTTCTTACCCTGCTAAATCTCATAACTATTGTTCAGTGGGTTCCTTGTTTACTATGAAATTAGTTCAGTTTAGTGACAGTCTATACTTTTATAAAGTAATTATTTGTTTACAAAATATACGTACAGGATAAATATTAGCAACTCTTTGTAGGAATTCAGCATATTTCAAAGTATTTCACATGGTTCCTAGTACCTTTCTTTGTTTCAGTAGGTTGATAAAAAATTTGAAATTTGTATTTGTTTTAGTTTCCTATCTGTAAAGCTGAATATGTTATTGTTTCGCCAAAGCCCATTTTTGATCAAAATTTAATATGATTTCTTATTTTTGTGATGTGCCGCATCTTGAATATTTTATCAATTCTTTAATGTATTGTTATGTATTTTGTGATGTAAATTTTATGTAATGTTTTTTGAAATTGATTCACTGTTAATGTGCTTATACAGGTGTGTATGTTATGTTTGTTTATAAATGGGCCATCTATTCCCAACCTTTTAAATAATCAGACAATTCTGACAAGTTTGTTTTCTTATTTACAATAATGTATTATTTTAAGCAACTTTTATTAAAGTTTTTGTAGGCAGAAATCCCATACTTTTAAAGCGAAAAACTGGGACACAAAACAAAATTATGATAGGGACCTCCCTACCCTATCATGATTTCCCGTCTCATATGAATCAAAATACCATACTTAATGAACAAAGAAATAATTTGCTCCTTTCAATTTATATAATTATGATACTGAACAATTATAAAACAAACTAATTATTTTTAAAAACTTGAAAAAGTTTTCTAAGTTAAATACTCCATGGCAGATACCACATTCCAGTTTGTCATTGGAACGGCCAGTAGTTTCTTTTTAGGAACGAGAACTGGAGCCTTTAAATTTCCTCTGAAAACAAACTTTTTCTTGGGTGTTTTGTGGCTTCTTTTTTTATTATTATTAAAATAAAATGTCATGAAACTACTTGAAATTATTTCAAATAAGAACTACCTCTACACATTCATACAAAAAGGAATGACACTTTGTAATGAATCATTGTCAGGTTGACTAACAGTTCTTCAAGAAACACAAAGTCTTGCATTCAAAATAGCTGAATGTACTATCAAAAAAGATCATACTTAAAAATTTTAAAAAAAACTTGTTTTGGGATGTCAGTGCATGTTAAAAGTCTGGGACGTACGGGATCCCTATCTTGGGCCACTGTCAGGGAATTTAAAATGTTCAGAAGATGAAATCACATCAGTCAATAATATTATTGTTGAATTACAAAAGTGCAGTAGAACCTAAAACAAGAAGTGTTCCTTGTTCTGTAGAATTGATCTTTGTATTTTCTTTAATCTTGAAGGCAGTCATTTTCATTGATTAAATGCTAGTCAAAATTATTTCCATCAGTAAACAAGAATAACATTTTCATAAGAATGGTGACACTATTGACAATTTTGCAAAAAAGAAATATTCAGTTGTGAAAAAAATTGCCTATGAATTTTAAGTAACTTTATATGCTAAAAAAAAAAAAATAGAAATATATTTAGATACATTCTTGTTTTAACGATTCAGAGCAAGTGATCTTTTTTTGGAAAAGACCAGAATACTAAACCAGGCCATGATGTGTTATAATTATTATTAAGAGCCGAGATACTTATGTAATTGCATATTTTTGGTCTTTCTATGTACAGTTCTTAGAATTGGGATTATGGCAAATTGTTGCAATCTTCAATGTCCAAATTATTCGTTCATATTTTTTTAAAACTTTTCTTGAAATTATATCCCTAAAGAATGTTTGCAAAAAAGATAGCATAGATCTGATTTTCACTGTTAATTTTGAATTTTCAAAAATTATAAAAGTTTGATTTTTTTTCGCCTTCTTCTTTACAACTATAATATTAAAGATGGCGATTTTTTCTTCAAATGAAATTTGTTCTCCATAACTAGTTCTTTTATAAATGTCTTGTACTTTTTTTGAAAATTGTAAGTTTTCAAGCCATTATAATTGAAATTTGTCCACCATATAAACAATATTTTCTCAAAAATGACTTCAAATTTTGTCTCCAAACTTTTTGTACAAATAATGCAAGCTGCACTGTATCATAATGCCATTTTGCTGTATTCTTTTGATTTTTCAAAACTTACTCTTTTTTAATGTACCTCACATCATAAAAATTTAAATCACAGATGTACCATCGTTCATTGTTTAATACATTTGTTAACACGAGTTTCAAAGTATCTCTAATGATGTTTGTGAAAAATCCATAAATTTTTTCGTATATGATTAGCTGTTTGGTAAAAGGGCCCCAAGTCCAAAAAAAAACAAATTTTACAGGAGAAACAAAAAACAGTTTTTTATTCATTCTATCAAGTTTTAAAAATATCTACTGCATTCAAAATCAAGCTATTTACCCATCACATTTCTCAGCAACATACATAAACATAAAATAAAAAAATGACTGTCCTAGAAGTAATCAAAAGTAGGGAAGTAAGAAGTAATTAAAAGTAGCCCCTTTAACAAATAACGTTTCTCTTTGAGGTAATGAATTTGTATTTTTACACAAAACAAGTAATTTCTTTTAAACTGGTTGTATTTAAACCTCTTAAGTGCGCACTTTGAAAAAGAGTTGCGCGCAAGTAGAAGGTGTTGGTGGTTGTCGCCTGCATTTTTGGCAGAAGAGTCCGTCTGTGGCAGTAGTTTTTGTCTGGTAAGAGCATATTGACAGTGTCGCAGCAGGGAACTCGTCGGTCTGGTGATAGTCCGTTATGTTAGTTTTGTGGTGTAGTAAGTTTTATTGATCTTAATAGTTGTCTGTGTCGTTTTGTTGCCGATCGATAATGTAGAGTCGATCCAGTAAAGAGTGCTGTCGTGTTCTGTCTTTTCATTTCGCTAATGTGGTGGATTTTTGTAGTTGTGACAGTGACGTCAGCGAGCATGTCGATGATTGGGAAGTGGTCGGGTGAAAGTCCTTTGATTAGTAGTTTTGTTTGTCGCTCTTCTGTGTCTTGTGATGGTGGTAGTAGAGGTCGCTGCTAAAGTACCTTGTCCTGATTTTGGGGTTCGAGTTCAATGTCCTGGAGTACTAGTAGGATTTTTTCATGTTGAGTCAATAGTCCGTTGCCTTGAATAAATTATGACGTTTAGTTGCTTTTGGCGTGGTTAAGGAGTTTGGCAGATGTCTTTGTAGGTCATGTCAGTAGTTGGTGGGGGTTTGTCAGTCCTTGATGGTCGATGTGGAATTGCTCGATTTGCGGTCCCTGTTAACTGGTTGACGATGGGTCTCAGTCCGTGGTTGTTCTAGGTTCTTGGTTGTCTGC